CGGAAAAAAAAAAAAAAAAAAAAAAAAAAAAAAAAAAAGACAACATAGAGAGCTACTTCTTAATTTTTAGCTTTAGGATTATCTAGTGACTTGCCACTGTGGAAGATGAGGATGTAGCCCTCTCCCACTACCACTGCTGTTCCCCCCCCTCAACGCTTGCACACTACTGCACCTCCATCTTCCTGATGTAGTTATTTCTGAATTTTGGATAGAATAATAGCCAATGTTTAAATTAATAGGACTTTGTCAACACTGTACACAACTGAGCCAAACAGAATACTATGATTATTTTTCTTTGTTGTTTTTGCAGATCCTTTTGTTTTCCCAGAGTTAGTAATTGTCACTGTTTTTGTTTTGTTTCAACTGCAGATTATGCTCCAATTGTGGAAGTCTCCTCAAATAAGTGGTCAAATAGTCAGGCTTTCTACTGATGCTATCAATTTCATCTTGAAAATATCTTCCAAGCTTCAGTCTGGACTGGTGGTGTGGCATTGCCATCTTCTTGGCATCATAATAGAGGCACAGAGCAGTCACTTGCCCTGGGGCAGGTGGCTAGGCAGGGGTGAGGCCAGGATTTGCAGCTGGGCAGGCTGGCTCTGGCACTGCTACCCTTGCCCCTTTCCATCTACTGGGTGGGGCAGGGAGCAGAGGGCGTATTTGAATTAGAGTTACTTGGGGAGTCTTTAATTAAGGGACTGTTTACAAAGGTGTGGGCAAGGATGGGGGAAAGAAACCACAAGGACTAGTGCAAGACGCCAGGCCCAGGCTCGAAGCAGTGAGGGGAGGGAATGGTTGTTGGCATCTGGAGACTGCAGGGCTGCCGGACAAGCCCACCTCCTCCCCAGCTGTCTCCTGCCCTCGCTTGCCATTGGCCTATCCACCACAATCCAGAGGGCAGGGCAGTCTGTTCAGTAGTCCACAGAGCTGGCAGTTCCAGGTGGTGAGGGACCAGGCGGGGCAGCCGGGAGGGATGCAGATGTGCAGTTGTGTCGGAGTTTTTTTAATCAGTCCTCTCCCAATGGGCAGTTGTTTCTGTCCCTTTGCTGTTACAGATAATGCCCCAGTATATCTCATGTATGTCTCTACATTCAACTGAAGAAACATCTAAAAACAGGTGAAAAATTTTTTTTTTTTTTTGGCAGCTGGCTGGTAAGGGGATCTGAACCCTTGACCTTGGTGTTATAGTGCCACACTGTAACCAAGTGAGCTAACCGGCCAGCCCAGAGGTGAAATCATTGAGTCAGGATCTGTGCTTTTAAAATTTTGCTGGCTCTAAATTGACCTACAGAGAGGTTAAGCCTATTTATATTCTTAAAGAAGTGTTTTCTCACTTCCATAACTTAAAAAGAAAATTTTTAGCAATCTACGAGGTGAAAAAAAATCATTTTAATTTACACAAGCTTATTGGGAAGATACTGAGAATCTCTTTATATGATGATAGGACATTTGGGGTTCTCTTTCAGCTAACTGCTATTAGGGACCTTTGCTTGTGGAGTTGTCAGTTTTATTAATGATGTGTACAACTCTGTATCAAGGGAATTAGCCCTTCGTTTTATGTTTTGCAAACGTTTTTCTTTTGGTTTGTCAGATGTTGAATTTGTGGTAAATTTTGCCATGCAAAGGTTTTAATGTAGTCAGTTATCTATGTTTTATACCTTTTAAGTTTTAAGGTTTTCCTCTGCTCCTAGATTGTAGAAATAGTCCCCCATTTTTCTTTTCCCGGTTTCATTTGTTTTCAAATGGTGTAACCTAGATAAGGTGCACACCCGTAAGGGTTTGGCTCATCACACCTCTCCTCATGTGCACACTGTGTGGTCACCACACAAATCCAAACACAGCGCCTATCAGGCTTCACTTCTGCATTTCTCCTTGTGCTTTGGTGAGTTTCAAGCTGGTGTGCAGCACGGTGGGGACACAGCTCGCTTTCCCTCCAGTGACTGGCCAGGAGCCTGACAGTGCTCAGAGAACACACTAACGGAAGATCCCTTTGAGCTGTTTTTCTCTGCCTTTTTGAGGGGCAGGGCCCTCTGAGAATGTGCTGAAACCTCTGGACTTTGTCCCTAGAATAATACACATGTGCACAAAATTTTAGGTTAAAAACTCTGTTTCTTAGGTTAAATTTTTTCCTTTTTGCAGGAAATTTGTGTTTTTCAACATACCTCAGATCCAATACAAAAACCCTTGGGTGCAGATCATGATGTTAAAGAACATGACGCCATCGCCCTTCCTGCGATTCTATTTAGGTGAGTGAGGGGCCTGCACAGACGTTGGAGATATGCCTGGAAAGACTGTTCCCTTTCCTCCCTGCTGTAGCAGCCAGGGTGAGCTGAAAGCCGAGCATAGGCAACACTTCCGTCACTCCCATCCCCTTTGACTTCCCTCTGCTGGGTACACAATGGCTGCTGAGGTCTGGCCTCTTCTTCCTCCTTCCCTTTCCCCTCATGTCCTGCTGTCCCCAGCCTCACACCTTGGGGGCTGAGTTTTCCACATTCCCTTGCCACACCATGCCCTGATGCCACTGCTCATGCTGAGCCCTCCACCTGGAATCTCCTTTCTACCTATCTTTGCTTATTTAGTTTAAAAAAAGTCCTTGAGGACTCAGCTTTGATACCACTTCTTCTAGAAAGCCTTCCCTGAGCCCTAGAATGCCCTTGCCTGTGCTCCCAAGCCCCTTCCACTTAGTGCCGATCACATTCTATGGAAGTGTCTGTTCTCTCTGGACTGTGTATTTAACACGATGCTGTTCATATTTGGACCTGGTTCTAAGTGACATTTATTAAGTTAAATTGGGCTCAGTGCTGGAAAATCAGGAGCCCACGTCTTGACTCAGCTCTCTACTCAGTTGTTCTGATCCTGAGCAAGTAACATTCCCATTTCTTTCTGAAGTGAAGGCAAAACATCTGCCTTACATGGTTATGAGAATCAAATGAAGTGTAGATTGGGAAATGTTTCAGGAAACTGATGATGTTCTTTCGTTCATTCCTCAAATTTGTATGGAGTGTTTACCAGGACCAGACAAGATTCTAGGTGCTGAGATGTCAGGAAGCCACATAGACAAAAATCTTTGCCCTTGTGGAGATTGTATTTTAGAAGGAGGAGACCAAGAATGAACCAGAAACTTAACAAGAAGATATGTTAGAAGATAAGTGCTACAAGATAAAGGAAAACTAGAGCCAGGGCAGGGGGTGAAGAGAATGGTGGGCGTATGGCAGTTTTGTGTGCATGAGTTTTGTTTGTGTTTTAAAAAATTAACTTTACTGAGGAATGATTTACCTATAGTGAAATGCACAGGTCTTAAATGTACATAGTTTCAGGGATTCTGACAGTTTTATGTGTCTGTATCATCACTTTCCTGATGAAGATACAGAATGTTGCCATCACTGGAGGAAGTTTCTTAGTGCTGCTTTCCAAGTAGTTCCCCTTTACACCAGAGCGACCAGTTATGATTTCTTTCACCATAGATCAGTTTTGTTTTAAAACTTCATGTAAACAGATCTCATAGCACATTTTCTTTTGCATCTGGCTGCTTTCACCCATCGTGTTTTTGAGATGCATCCATGTTGCACCTAACCGTGGTTTATTCATTTTTATTGCTGAGTGGTATTCCGTTATATGAATATACCACTGTTTTTGTTTATCCATTTGCCTGTTAATGAACCTTTGAGTTTTTGTTAGATGCCAAGACAGAGTTAGAAGTATGACATTTATTGGAGATGGAGATAAGACCTTGAAAGATAAAAGGGAGAGGGAGGTGGGTAGACAGCTTCTAAAAGCTGTCCACATTCTTTAGCTTGTGGCCCCGTTCCTTTATCTTCAAAGCCAGCAACACTGCCTATCTGGCCATTCTTCTATAGTTACATCTCCCTCTGACCACAGCTCAGGAAGGTTCTCTAGTTTTAAGGACCCATGTGATTAAATTGGGTGCACTGGGTTATCCAGGATAATCTCCTCATCTCAATGTCCTTAACTTGAGACACATCTGCAGAGTCCCCTTTGCTATGTAAAGCAACATATTCCCAAATTCTAGGGGATGAGGACATGGACATCTTTGGGGACCATTATTCTACCCACTGCATTAAGTCTTTTAAATTTTAGCATTCTGATGGGTGTATATCTCATTGAAGTTTTAATCTCCATTTCCCCAGAAGCATCTTTTTCATGTGCTTATTGGCCACTCGTGTTTTTTCGTAGAGAGTCTGAATCTTGTCCATTTAAGGGGTGGGGCGGCACTGTTTTCTTATTGAGTTCTTTATATACTCTGGATGCAATTCCTTTGTCAGATGTTCTGTAACTATTTTCTCTCAATCTGTGGCCTGCTTTTCATTTTCCTAATGGTGTTTTTGGAAGAGTAGCAGTTTTAATTTTGGTGAATTCCAGTTCTCCAATTTATTCTTTTATGTTTGGTGCTTTTTGTGTCCTGTCCAGGAAATCTCTGTCTACCCCAAGGCCACAAAGATTTTCTTCTGTGTTTCCTTGAGAATTGATATAATTTTAGATTTTACATTTAGGCCTGTGATCCACTTTGAGTTATTTTCTGTGTATTAAGTGTGGTAGGGATTTCTGTTTTTTAAATTTGGGATATCCAGTTGTTATAGCACCATTTTGTTGGCATCTTTGTCAAAAATCAGTTGACCAAGAATGGATTAACAATGCGGTCTATCCATACAGTGGAATATTACTCAGCCATGAAAAGGAATGAAGTACTGATAACATGCTAATGTGGATGAACCTTGAAAACACACTAAATGAAAAGCCAGATATAAAGGGCCACATATTATATGATTCCCTTTATATGAAATATCCAGAAAAGTTAAATCCATAGAGAGAAAAAGTGGTTGCCAGGGGCAGGGAAAATAAAGAGTGACTGCTTAATGAATGGGTACAGGGATTTTGTTTGGGGTGATGAGAAAATTCTGGAACTAAATATTGGTAATATTGTGTTTATGCTAAAAACCACTGAATTGTATACTTTAAAATGGTTAAAATGGTAAATTTTATGTTATGTGTTATTTACCACATAAAAAATCACTTATTTTGCTGTTCTGTATTCTTCATTTTTCACTGATCTGTATGTCTGTCCTTATGCTAATACCATGCTGTCTGCTGTCTTGGTTTTTGTAGCTTTATAAGTATGGAAATCAGGTAGTACAAATCCAATTTTATTCTTTTTTCCCTCAAAATTATTTTGGCTATTCTAGGTCCTTTGCATTTCCATATAAACTTTAAAATCTTCTTGCCAGCTTCTAGAAAAAAGTTTGCTGGGGTTTTGATTGGCATTACATTATAGATCGGTTTTAGGAGGATGGACTTTTTTTTTCAATAGTATCTTTTATTATTATTTTTCTTATGTAATATTTTTATTCACTATAAATTTAATACATGTTCATTATAAAACATCTTTTAGAAAATACAGAAAAGTAGAAGGAAAGATGAAAATCATACATAATCCCACAACTCAAAATAAAATTTTATGTTTCCTGACAGTCTTTTCCTATGAAAATATTTTCACATAGTTAAAATCATACTCTCTCTCTCTCTCTCTCTCTCTCTCTATATATATATATATACACATACAGTCTTTTCCTATGAAAATATTTTCACATAGTTAAAATCATACTCTCTCTCTCTCTCTCTATATATATATATATATACACATTTTTTTTTTTGCCACAAGTCTTAATACATTTCAAAAGACTAAGATCATAGAAAATATGTTCCCTGACCAAAAAACAGACGGAAATTTAGAAAACTCACAGATGTGTGGAAATTAAACAACACTCTCCTAAATAAACAGTGGGTAAAAAGAAAAATCACAGGGAAATTAGAGAGTGCTTTGAGATAAAAATCAAAGCACAGTATATCAAATTTAGAGGATGCAGTGCTTAGAAGAAAATTTATACTCATAAACACCTGTATTAAGAAAAAGAAAAAATCTCAAATTAGTAATGTAAACTACCTTAAGAAAATAGAAAAAGTCAATCAAACTAAAACAAAAGCTAATATAAGTAGCAAATAACAAAGATTACAACAGAAGCATATGAAATAGGGAATTAAAAAACAAAAGAGAAAATCAACAAAACCAAAAGTTGCTTCTTTAAAAGGATCAACCAAATTTGCAAACATTTATCTAGAGTGACTGAAATTACTAAAATCAGAAATAAAGGGGGCTGGCCCGTGCCTCACTTGGGAGAGCATGGTGCTGACAACACCAAGTCGAGGGTTAAGATCCCCTTACTGGTCATCTTTTTTTAAAAAAAAAAAAAGCAGGGACATTATTACATTGTCACTATGGCTTTTTGTGGTGGTAAGATTTAGTTTGTTTCTTTTTCTTGTTTGCATTTTTGTTCTATCAGTGGGTTCTGTTCTTTTTTGTGTATTTGTGGTAGTGATTATTGTTTTTTAGATTCCAAATGAAGGACTTCCTTGATGATTTCTTGTAGGGCTGGTTGTGTGATTGTGAACTCCAGGTTTTTTTTGGTACATACACTATTTCTCCCTCATTTCTGAAGGATAGCCTTGCTGGATATAGTATTTTTGGCTGGCAGTTTTTTTCTTTTAATGTTTTGAATATATCATCCCTTTTTCTTCTGGCCTGTAGAGTTTCTGTTGAGAAGTCTGCTGTTAGTCTGATAGGGGCTCCCTTGTAAGTGACTTGATGCTTTTCTCTTGCTTCTTTTAAGATTCTCTCATTGTCTTTGAACTTTGCCAGTTTGACTGTAATGTGTCTTGGAGAGGATCTTTTTGGGTTGAATCTGTTTGGGCCTCCTGGATCCGAAGGTCCATGTCTCTCCCTATACCTGGGAAGTTTTCCATTATTATTTTGTTGAATAGGTTTTCCATGCCTTTTCTTTTCTCCTCCCCTTCTGGAACACCCATGGTTTGAATATTTGTGTGCCTGAGGTGGTTTGCTAGCTCCCTTAAGTTTTCTTCATTTTTAAAAATTCTTCTTTCCTTTTTCTGTCCACCTGGGTTATTTCGAAAAGATGATCTTCAAGATCAGAAATTCTTTATTCTGCTTGCTCTAGCCTGCTGCTTAAGCTGTCAGTTGTGTTATTTCCGTAAGTGAATCTCTCAGTTCCATGAGTTCTGCTACATTCTTTTTCAAAGTATTTATCTCTTTGTAAATTTCCTCCTTCATATCTTGGATTTTTTTTCTCATTTCATTATGTTGTCTAATGGAGTCGTCTTGTATCTCAGTGAGTTTCCTTAAGAATGTTGCTTGGAATTCCTTTTCAGTCATTTCAAGGGTTTCCTGCTCTGTAGGGTCTGGTATTTGACAATTACTGTATTCTTTTGGTGGTGTCATATTTTCTTGGGTTTTCATATTTCTAGTATTTTTACATTCATGTCTGGTGATCTGGTAGAGCAGTTGCTTTTTCTGTTACTCTGGAGTGGGCTTTGAGGAGAGAGATGTCCTCTTCTGGTCTCTGCTGGTAACTCTTCCTTGTGTCAGTGCAGTCAAGTGTTTGGCAGGCTGCCTGCATGGTGACTGTGGTGGGCCACCCATGCGTAAGTGGTGTTTTTGGCATGCTCTCTTGCCTGCTCTGGGTGGGGGGTGCCTCGGTAAAGTCATGTCTAGGACACCGGGAGTGCTGTCTTGCCTTGCTTCTGGGCCAGGATGGACATTTTAACAACATCGAGAATATTTTGTGATTACTGTAAATGGTACTTTTTAAAATTTCATTTTCTGGGCTGGCCTGTGGCTCACTCGGGAGAGTGCGGTGCTGATAACACCAAGGCCACAGGTTCGGATCCCATATAGGGATGGCCAGTTTGCTCACTGGGTGAGCGTGGTGCTGACCACACCAAGTCAAGGGTTAAGATCCCCTTACCGGTCATCTTTTGGGGGGAAAAATTTCATTTTCCAATTGTTTGCTAACAACCAAACAGCTATATAGAAGTATAGTTCATTTTTGTATGTGAAAAATTTTTTTTTTGTAAATGGACCTTATGTCTTGCAATCTTCCTAAAATTCACTTCATTCTAGTTTTATTTTGTAGATTCCTTAGGATTTTCTACATACACTGTATTCATGTCACCTGCAAATAAAGACGGTTGTACTTTTCCAATCTTTTTCTTAATGGCTTAATCTTCTTCTTGGCTAAAGTGGCAGTGATATTATTTTGCATTTCTACTAGCAATATATGAAAGTTCCACTATTCTGCATACTCAGTAGGACTTGGTATTGTCTGTTATTACAAATTTTAGCCACTGTAAGATCTCATTGTGGCTTCAATTTTCATTTTCCTAATGAGCAATAGTGACCCTCTTTCCATGTGCTTATTATTAGCCTTTTTTTTGGGGGGTTAAATGTTTATTCAAATATTTTCCTCATTTTTTTAGTTAGATTGCTTAGCTCAGTGAGTCGTGAGTCCTTTATATATTCTGGATATAGGTCCTTTATCAGACATATACATTATTAATATTTTGTCCCACATTATGGCTTATGTCTTCTTTTGAAGTGCAAAAGTTTTGAATTTTAAATGCAATTTATTGATTTTTTTTTATGGATCATGTTTTTAATATCATATTTATTAAATATTTGCTTAGGTAATGTCATGAAGATTTTCTCCTGTGTTCCCTTATAGAAGTTTTATAAAAAGCTATTTAAAAAAAAAAAAAAAAAAAAAGCTTTAGTTCTTTCATTTAGGTCTTTGATTCATTTTGAGTTTTTTCATTTTTTTTTTTTTTTTTTAATGTTGTGTGGTAAAGGTCTAGATTTGTTTATTTGCATGTTGTCCCAGTACCATTTATTGAAAAGACCATCTTTCTTTCTTTAATTATCCTGGCATCTTTGCCAAAGTCTAATTGACCTAATGTGAGGGTTTCTTTCTGGGCTCAGTTCTTGCCCATTGTGCTCCATATCTGTTCTATGCTGGTACCACACTGTCTTGATTACAGTAACTTCAATTTATAGCAAATTTGAAATTGGATAGTAAACATCCTATTTTCTTGTTTCTCAAAATTGTTGTAGCTATTTTGAGTCTTTTGTATTTCTATATGAGTTTTAGAATTAACTTGTCAGTTTCTACAAAAACACCTGCTGCGATTTTGATAGGGATTGTATTGAATCTATTGATCAGTTTGGGGAGAAATGCCATCTTAATATTACTAAGCCTTTCCATCCATGACCATGGAGTTCTTTCCATTCGTATAGTATACTTGGATTATGTCTGCTTATGTCTATGGAATATGGAAAAAGGAAGGGTAGCACTGTGAGATATAAACAAATATGTTTATTTTATTGTTAAAATGTTTCTGCTGGGCCGGCCCGTGGCTCACTCGGGAGAGTGTGGTGCTGATAACACCAAGGCCACGGGTTCGGATCCCTGTATAGGGATGGCTGGTTGGCTCACTGGCTGAGTGCTGGTGCTGACAACACCAAGTCAAGGGTTAAGATCCCCTTACCGGTCATCTTTTAGGAAAAAAAAAAAAAAAAAATGTTTCTGCCACTAAAACAAATCCCAAATCACAACCTTTTGAGGCTGAGGAGTGTGCTGTGAGTTCTCAGCTTCTCCTCCCTGTGCTTCCTGTTTCTAGATTCTGGAGAGCAGGTTCTGGTGGATATGGAGACCAAGAGCAATAAGGAGATTATGGAGCACATCAGAAAAATCTTGGGGAAGAATGAGTGAGTTGCTTGGGTTGACCTGAAGGGGAGCAAACTTCTCAGCCTGGAGAATTTGGGGGAGAAGAACGGGGTGTGTGGGGAGAGTGCTGAGAGGGGAGGTTTGCTCGCAGTGGTGAGTCTGGGCTGTGGAGTCAGCTCCGCTGTGAAGTGGGGACAAAGCTCACTCTCCCTCCTTGGGCTGGGACAGCTGACGTGCGCCCTGTGCTACTGCTCTCCTGGGAATCTCAGCTGGGGGCTGGAAGGTGTACAGCCTTCGGCCTCTATGACATGCCCCTTTTCTTTCCATCAATGAGACAGGAAGAAAGGGAGGGAAGCCAAGAAAGTCTCTCTTTGAGAAACCACACAGAGGTGTTTCCAGGCTTCTTTACCCTGTGGTTTTTCATCCTAGTCAGAGCTGCGGGCCCCCGTGGGCTGCAGGAAGGCTGACCACACCAGGTGGGCTTGTTTCTGTGGGCTGTGGGCACAACAGTGGGTTTTCCTGTGGTCACTCCTCTGGGGGCCAGCAGGGAGTGAGGAGCAGGTCAGAAAGCAAGAGGTCTGTGTCTCCCTGGCTTATGGTGGCTTCCCTGCTCTGTCCACTGGCTCAGTCATGTTCCTCATGCTTCCTTGCTGTCTATGCTCTTTGGCAGGAAAACCCTCAAGGAAGAGGAGGAGGAGAAAAAGCAGCTCTCTCACCCAGCCAGCTTTGGTCCCCGGAAGTATTGCCTGCGGGAGTGCATCTGCGAAGTGGAGGGACAGGTGCCCTGCCCGAGCGTGGTGCCGTTACCCAAGGAGATGAGGGGGAAGTACAAGGCCTCACTGAAAGCCGGTGGCCAGGACTAGGGCTCGGGGCCACTGGATGGAACACTTGGCATGGGGGTTACCTTCACCCCAGGGAAGCCCCTGGTTCTGTCCTCAGAGACTCTGGAAATCTCTTTGCAATAAAAGGTCCCCTTCATGCACTTGTGTAAAAGGATGTGGAGAGGAGTGTCTGCAGCTGAGCTGCTGAATCAATGTCTCTGCTCCATCAGTCACAAAACGCATCTTAGTCACTCTGGTCACATGGCACATATCTGGTCAGACAGGGAAGAGGAGTCTGCATGGCAAAAGGGCTTTGGGCCAGGGAGGGTGTAAGACACATCTCGTTATTGCTCATCTCAGTCCTGTGACCGAAGTTTTCCTGGTCTTCGCTGGCGCTGAATCTCTCTTCAGACCGTACTGTGGAGAACATAAGGGCTGCTGCAGTTGAGTCTGGCTGGAGTCTTCTGCAGCTGACAGTGTGGCCACCCCTCCACCCAGGTCTTTTGGGTATTTCTCAGAAATCCAAAGGTGACCCTTTATACAGCACCTATTTTTTAAACTAAAGCAACCGACTCTTGTCTCCTGGGAGCCTGGCTGTGGCCAGAGGTGAAGGAGCCAATACTGGCTGACAGGTCAGCCTCACTTGGGCATGTGCCCCAGGCTGGTCAGCCATTGCCCACCCCGCGGCCTGTTTTTGTGCCTTAGGGGTTTACTGGTCATCAGGGAAGAAAGGTGGTATGCCTGGTGGAGACTGAGGGGCCCTGCTGGGGGATGGTGTCTGGGGCTGACCGTTCAGCTCTCAGCCCAGTCCTCTTTTTTTTTTAAAGATGACCGGTAATTGGCTCTTAACCCTTGACTTGGTGTTGTCAGCACCACGCTCTCCCAAGTGAGCTAACCGGCCATCCCTATATAAGGATCCGAACCCGTGGCCTTGGTGTTGTCAGCACCGCACTCTCCCAAGTGAGCCATGGGCAGGCCCTTGGCTCAGTCCTTGCTCTTAAGGTTTGTCTGGGAGCTGATGTGATGTGTGACACATCTTCGTGGTAGTTCTTTCCTTCTAGGACCCTGGTGTTACTGTCACTTTAGTTATACTGGCTTCGGCCCCCAAAAGAGAGCAGAGCCCTCTAGGGTCACCTTAAGAGTAGGTTTACTTAGTCAAAAGTGAAGGATGGCCTGGACCAGAGACTCTTGGAAACACAGATAGACTTGACTTTATGGGACACAGCAGGACAGTGGTTAAAAGAATTAAAAAAGGATAGTGGGGCTGAGAAGAGCAAAGCTGAAGTCTTTATTCCTCTACTTCCTGGGGACCTAGCCAAATCCTAAAGCTCTCTGGGTCCTTAACTGGTAAAATGGGAATAAGGCAGTATCTGCCACATGAGGTAGTGGCCAGTGACATGATAAAAAGCTACAGTACGTTTTATGTAACTGTTGGAGATGATCACATGAAATTGGGCACATTTTGATCCTTTTACCTTTGATGCTCAAGTTCTGGCTTATGATGATTTCACACCAGACCTGTGTTCAGGGTGATGTCTGTAGGGGTGGGGGGGACAGTGGGGTGCGGGTCTGATGTGTAATGGATGGTGTTCCTTAGATGGCTGCAGGCCAAGGTGGTGTTTCATTGAGACTCAGCACCTTGTCCTCCCACTCTACCATTTTGGAGGGTGGGTAGGAAAAGCTGTCATTGAAATCCCTCCTGTAGGTGCTGGTTGCAGTCTTGACCTTAACACCAGCTGACTGGGCTTTTTCACTTGGTAGCAAGGGCTCTTCAGAAAGCAGTTAGTTCAGGCCAGCCCCGTGGCTCACTCAGGAGAGTGCGGCGCTGATAACACCAAGGCCACAAGTTCGGATCCCTATACGGGATGGCCGGTTAACTCACTTGGGAGGGCGTGGGGCTGACAACACCAAGTCAAGGGTTAAGATCCCCTTACCGGTCACCTTTAAAAAAAAAAAAAAAAAAGTTCTTTTGGTCTTTATTTGCACAATTTAGGTCTCCATAGCTAGTTAGGCAGAAAACCCTACAGAAGCATTCCTTCCCTCTACTGCCCCAAGAGGTTGCTAACCAGCAGGATCATCCTGAACCAAAGTAGTGACTCTTTACAGAGATAATAAACGTCCAGTGCCTGATAGAAGACTTGGTCTGGAGGTCAGGCTTGACACGGTCGTGAGGGGCTATAGCAGGGAGAGCCGAGACTCCGTGCCTGCTGGGGATTGAGGCTGAAGGGGGTGTGGAGATGGTGCCATCATTACTGTTTGCATGGACTAGTTCACAGGCAGCAGACAATGATTCTGGCAGTCAGCACCTCTAGGAGGCATTGTTGTCTCTTGAAACCTTTGTCTTTTTTGTCTATTTTGTTTATCGGTGATAAAAGATGAGTTAGGGCGGGCTGGCTGGCTCACTGGATTAGAGCATGGTGCTAATAACAACAAGGACAAGGGTTCAGATCCCCTTACCAGCTAGCTGCCAAAACTAAAAAGTTAAAAAGATGAGCTTAAAATGTACAGAAACGGAAAAGATAACAGAGGATTTTATAATCGACACACAATTTTATTTGCACAAGCAGTGCTCACCAGATGGCTTTTGGCCTTGTCCTTCTGAAGTGGTGACCAATTTTCTTTTTGTTTTGAGGTACTACCTGGCAATGCAATTTAAAGCTATTTGGCTGCATTAAGTTCTGTCATGGATCTGACTTCTCACTTGTAAAATGAGAGGTCGATGACATAATGAGGAAGTTCTTTCTAAAACCTTAAGAACATATTTTTACCCTGGATAGCAAATGTCCTTAGGGATGAGTTTGCTGCTTTGAGGTCTGGCTCTGTACATCTGTCTGTGATGGCATCTGAGAGGTCTAGCAGCCTAGCTGTGGTGTGTGTTCTGCTGCAGAAATGTCTGAGTGGCTTCCTTACCTCCACACCCAGGGCCTGCCCACATGCGGACTCTCCTGCCAGAGTTTTCTACTAAAAGTACAAGTCCAGTGGACCACGAAGGGCTAAATCACTGTTGTGTGAGGCGGAGCATTGTAGAGATGTGACCACCAGGATGCTGCATCTGCACCTGCTACTAGGGTTCACGTGAAGGTGCTCTGGGCATGTCTGGGGGCCAGATATCATCATTGTTATGAGGAGAAATGATCAGCAGGATGCATGTTAGTCTTTAATTCACTTTTAATAGTATAAACCTCATTTAGGTAGTAGTATTAAGCCACAACAATGCCACATTGAAACAGCATTTAATAAAATGCATAAAGCTAATTCATGCACTGCAATACTCTATATACAAACACAACAATGCAAATTCTTCAAGACTGAAGACATAGATTAGATATAAAATTCAGTTTAAAAAGAACATGCTATTTTTTAAATGCCATCACATAAACAAAGCTGATTTCACAGGGTGAAGAAAGCTGTGTAAAACTACAGCTTTCAACAGGTTTTAAATCTGGAATTAAAATGTAATGGCAGAAACCAGTATTTTCTATATTGTGAAGGGCAGAGGTTACAGAAACGGTCCCAAGAAAATCTAACACCTGAATTTTCCTTTAATAGACGTCTTTTGAGAGGGCTGGGAATGCGGCTACATTTTAAGGGAGGTCCAAACTACAGGTAAAAACTACAGTTTGTACTATGAAAAATGTGCAGCTTTTAGGTTATAAAAACTAGTTGAACACTGGTTTACAAGATAATTGGGAGAACAGAGAGACTGTAGAAAAATACTCCAGCACTTGAGTTGTACGTGGCAGCAGCATTTGAGTCCATGAGTGCTGTGGCTGTTAAAATAATATCATTTGTAATGTACAGTCTGCTACTTCCTAATGCTATCCAAACATTAAACTTTAACACAGTCTGTCAATTGATAAATGCTGAGCATTTTTTCTGTGTTGTGTGTTTAAATATTGAGACACCAAAATTATTGGCCTCTTAACTGAAAGTGTAGCTGGGCATGAAAAATGACATTTCTCCCCCCAAAGATACTTTTTTTAAGCTCACAGTTTAATTATTCTTAGATTGTTGTTAAGATAAATAGCCCCAAGGGAAAATCGTTTAAGATTCACTTAGAGACTGTCAAGCTTCCCTTTGTATTTTAACTGGAAAGCCAATAGTGTGATTGTCACGACAGGCAATGACATGGGAAAGATCGAACAATCACTGTTGGATGAGTCCAGTGAAATAGGAGCTTTCTTTACGTCAAAAACAGGGGAAGCCGAAGGCTGAATGACCCACCGTCTCACAAAAGGCACTGAGTACTATGGTTTCATGAAGTGTTTTTCAAATATTTTGATAGCTTATTTTATAAAGAAAAAGCAGCCTGTGTGTTATGTGAGTTTTGCAGTTATCCAGTGATTTTATTCAGCAGGCCAGCTTTCCACATTCCTGCCAGGCAGGCCCCTGCTCACCAGGTCTGCGAGCATCTACTGCTGGGCTGGGCCCTGGCTCCCAAGTGCCGTGTCTCAGTTTAAAGCCATTTAGGGGGAAAATTGATATCTGTAGCTTTAAGAGCACATATATCCCTATTAAAATGTAAATTTTATATGAAAAATTTAAATCATAATTTACAGAAGGGCATTAAGTCAATGAATGTCATTCATATGCTTACAGTAATGTGGGCTTTGTAGCTTATATGCCACAAAGGTTAGCCATCAACATTCATGCTTATTTTTAAAGAAGAATATGTGGTAGGCTGTTTATTTTTAACTGTCATTAGAGATAGGAACTTCTATTTGTTTAGCCACAGGATAGTGCCCCAAATCTTGCTGACTGAGCAGAGTGAGCATGGGAGACTGCTACCACCTCTGGAGTCAGCACCGTGCGACAGAGCTCTTGAGTATTTGGGAAGGCCAATGGCGCTAGCCACCAACTTCCTTCCGATTAGGTCGTAAATAGCATGACAGGCAAGTTAAAAATCCCCACTTAGTTTTGGGCATTAGGATAAACTGTCTTCCAGCTTCCTGGCCCTCGTCTGAACCTGGAGAATAGAGAGCAGTGTGACCCTGTCAGAACCATCTCTGTTCCGACTTCTTCCTTGTGCAGGGTGGAGATTCTCACTTCATGGCCCTTCCCAGGCAGGCTCACCCAAAGGAAAATGGATAAAATCACCAGCAAATCTTCCCTGCTGAGGGACCTTGGAAAACCCACATCAGTTTACATTAGCAACTCTTATCAAAAACTCTCTTTAAAACAGGGAAAGTTTGGATACATGTCTGTATACATCATATACATCTATGTACACATACACTATATACACTGTACATATAGAGCAGATATAAACACATGTACATTCATTGTCATACAGCCTATAAATCTGTACACACACAATGCCACTGAAGGACCCCAGGGCTGGACACGCGAAGTGTACGCTGGCGGGAGGCACACGATGAGGAGGTCCAGACCCTGTGTATAAAAGACCCAAATCAACCCTGTCGCGATTAGGGGTTGGCTTTAAAAATTTACATCAGAGTTAAGACACTTTCAAAGAGCCGCATAACCTAGCCCCATGTAGGGAAACTGCTCTGCCGGCTGAGACACTCCCAAGATCCAAAGGGCACTGCCCTCCGTGAGAGGAAAGCGGATGCCAGACAACAGCACTTTTTATGACCTGGACTTGGAAACGTCATCTACTACTCCACTGCACACAAAGCCATTTACACTGGAAAGCAGGCAACAAGGTTCTGGACTACAATGAGACCAGGTCCTGGAACATGGCTCCATAGACACGGCATGAGCTGCCACCTACAGCCAGGGACCCTGTTCAGGTGGAAGGCAGGCTGTGAGCAGGACTGCTCTGCAGGAAATGCCCCCAAAGGATTAGAACTTTTTTGTTCCAGGTAAAAGCACTAGATGTAGCTAAAGTCCTTATAATTCTTTGCTCCCTGCTGTGGCTAACCCCAGCAAAACAGCTCAGTATGTGTGTAGTGTGGATATAAACCTATGTCCTGCTGAGGATGTTGCTGCTGTTATTAGGGAGCCCAAGGTGTCCACTGTCACCTCCATGGCTGGTGTCCTAACAACCTCAGAGTCCACATGTAATACTGACACTGACAAGCTAAAAACAATCCCTCTAAAGGGCAATTATATAATACATCTTACAACAACTGACCACACCTGAAATTAAATATAGAAACCCAAACAACTAAAGAACTCCAAATGACAGCCTTATGGCTGAATTTAGACAATAAATAATGTAACCCCCCATTACACACACATAGAAATGTCAAATTAGAAGGATGGTAATATTCTTCCTTGAAACACTTGCCAGGAGTAACTTGAAAAGTATTTGCTTAAGTAATTTGGTCTTTTTCTATGTCTCTTCCTGTCCTGTTTTATGCTTATATGTAATGATCTCCACAAATTTCAACACATAACTGTCTCAACCCAACATTATCAGAGATACTTCTGAAATGAACCCACCTATCCAAGAAGTGACAGTGTGTGTCTGGCCACCTCACTGAGCCAGTGTGCCTCTCTTCACTAATGGAGGAGAGGCCAGGCTGGCAGAAAGGGGACACGACAAAGTTTCATGGCAAAACAGCCTAGGAATTCAGTGGGCAGAGGGTTGGTTTCACTTCATTAAATCCAGAGTTTCACAAAGTACTAATGAGGGTTACAAGCCCTGGAAAAGTTGGAGCCCAAACATTTGGTTGGGATCTTTAAGTAATTTTTGACTTTGGGTTGACTTTCCTTAACCAATTTGACAAGAGACGGAATGGACCTGCAGTCAAAGGCTTGAAATGAGTTCAGGCAGCAAGAATTCAGGTTATGTGGATATGATCCTTAAAGAAAAGGCCGTTTCAAAGTAAGGCCAAGAGGCTCTGGGAAACCAATGAAGGAGTGTTCAAAGCCCAAAACAGTCCCCCAGAATCAGCTATCACCAGCAAAGGGACTTTAAGAGCAGGACCAAGTTAGAATCAGCAATTTTCCAAGCTAAACTGTTTTTTTCCTCCAGTGCTCTCTCACAAGAGCTTGGCACTCCTTATCCAACCTGAGTCTAAATAGCCTAATGGACACGGGACTTCCAGAGCCTGCCGCTGAGTGGCCTAGGAATGAGGGAGTGGCCTGTGGGAGTCTTTTCACCAACACTGAGAACTAGGATCTGAAAGCTGTGACACAACATGTATTCCACATGATCGACATGCTCACACACAAAAATCAAAAGGCCAGAAGAGCAGGAAACTCTGTGAGATGAATACTTCAAGAATCCCACTACTGAAATCTTTCACAAGCAGAGACAAAACAGACCTAACTCCAGTGTCTTGGCCATTTTTTGGTCTTAATTTAAAATTTATAACATTTCAGGATTAGGAAACTAAAAATTACTAATTACTTTAAATCCGTTCCATCATTTTATCATAATAGCCACCTCCACTAATCTACAAAATTTGTTTCCAAGGCATGAGCCATAAATGATATAATTAAATCCAAAAGAGAATTAGAAGTTGGAGATACTGTCCCCACTTAATTCCTACTAACAATGACTTACATAAGGTGCTGCTAACATTTCAGTATAAAGCACCCTGTTCTGCTTTCAGCCTGTCCAGCATGTGTGTGGCACCCACCTTGACACTGCCGGCCAAGCCAGATCAGAGCACCTGCAAGGCAGGGAGTGTGCTGGGATCTTTTTGGGTATCATCTGATCAACAGATTCAACAGACATGAATTCAACCTTACAGGATATATTTTCTTAATCTGGGCTATACAAAAAGAAAATACAAAGTCTTCCACATACCACTTTCTCAAACAGGAAAAGCTTGCTTATTCATATCCATGGGAATTTATGGATACTCCAAGTTAGACATAACTTCCTCATAAATGTATTCTGTTCTTGTTGTAAACTACGGTTGCTATAATTTACGAGGAGGAATACCACCTTGGGAATTGAGGGTTGTTTTTTAAGGAGCTGGCAGCCTGCCACATCCCTCGGTGAAAATGCTCCAGGGGTGTTTTGCTGGCACACACCTGGGGGAACCAAAGTGCATGGTGTGCCAGTAGCATTGAAAGACTTGCCAACAGAGATGCTGAATTGAGACATCTGAAAATCCCTAATACTTATGGGCAACAGAGAGAAACCATTCAGAAACCTTTCGTTCACTTTTACCAGGCCCAGGCCACCCTGGCCAGGCAGCAAGATCCTGCACAGCACCAACTCAGCCCACTGCTCTGATGGGCCTGCAGAAACACAGGCAGTTCCTGAGGGGGTGTTGGAATGGAAACCCCTGGGTAAGGGAACCCTCACACTCCAAGGAGACCACATTCCCCCATCTGGACAACATGCAGCCACCCCAGATCATATTCAGGAAGTGCTGCTGACAAGGTTCAAACTGCCCACCTTATGCTTTTTGGTCAAAAGGCTCTGTCTGCCATGAGTGGTGGAGATCTAGGGTGTTTTCAGCAGCGGGAGGAATCACATGTCTCGTCGGGCAGTTAATGTCTGACTAGTTGTGATCCAATTCTGGAAAGGCCATCAGAAGAGAATCCCAGGTTCTGAAGGAGTCTGCAGATGCTGATCATATACCAGGATCAGGTGGTCAGGGAACCTGATAAGCATCAGCTCTATGGTTGGAAGCTTCTGGTCTGGGTCACCACCAACTGTGCTCCCACTCTCCCACTTACTGCATGACATAACTAAGCCATGAAATTTAGTTCAACACCACCAAATGTGCATACATTTAGGAATGATGCCTTCTTTTCTTAAACATAAATGATTGTCTCCTGTACCCTAGTGAATTTTCACAGAAATCATTAGAATTTCAGCAAAAGACATATAATTTTCCATTTGCTCTGTGCACAGGCAAGATGTTGCTAATATTACACATTGATAGGAAGTGCTTAGAAAGTGCTAATATTATTACCCTGGTAATTAGTAGCTATTAATTCCAAGGACATTTTTAATATATATACACATATATTGTTCTCTTAGGTTCTTTTAGTTTTTTTTAATACTAGTCTCTGACATTATAAAACTTCATTTTGTTTTTTGCCCTTTGAGAATTTCTAAATACAAATTGAGTTAAAAGATTGTTCCAAAATCTGCTGCTTCATCAAAAGGCATTAAAACATTTCTTATGACAGGAAAGGATCCTACTAGTCTTTTAGTTGCTATTGTCTGGGATTAACAGATAAGAAGAAACTAGGTAGGAAATGGCTAAGGTACTGGAAATATTTGCACATACCAAAATACCACTATTTTATTTTCTTTGTATCTGAATGGTTCTGGGAGGATTCTTTTGCTCCTTGGCAGATGTGTAGTGTGTACTATAGACTGGCTCCGGTGATCTGGCCATTGTACTCTGCTGTCTCCATCTTGAGGATGTAGGGGATTATGCTGTCTATTGAAACATTGCCAATGAGACCAGTGAAAAAAAGTTCTTCTGTTATGTTGGAGCTCATCAGCCTGAGTGCTGGCAGGCGGACGAGAATCCGGGCCAATCTGTAAGAGGGAGTGTCATTAGAAAAGGGGCTGTTTGCTGCCCTTCAGCCTTAACCCAGGAAAGGTTCACAGGGCCCTGTCTATACTTCACAGAAATGAACCAAACAGATCCACCACCCCACCCCCCTTATTTTTGTGGTTTCAACAGTTTCTCATTTAGGAATTTATCATGAGAAGAAATTCAAACAAGTGAGTACAAACATGTATGCAAAAATATGTTCCCTTCGCTGTTGTCTGTAACAGCTCTCCCTCCCCACCAAAGAGAAAAAACTTGGAAATTCATCAGTAGAGGATAAGTTAAAATAAATATGGTGTCTTCATATATACTCGTTAAAAAAAGGATAATAAAAATCTACATTTGTTGATAAGGAATGACATCCATGATGTATTGCTCAATAAAAATGTAAAAGGAGCCTGTGAAGCAGCAAGCAAGCACAGTCTCACTGGTGTGTACTTTGTGTACACACATGCATATACATATTTGGAAGGATGTTCACCACAGTGCTTAATGGTTGGGCTCTAGGTACTGGGATCCGAAGTGATTTTACCTATTAAAACGTTTTCTGTATTGCCCTAATGTCCAGTGTTCATTTGGCATTACAAATAAAGCAAAAAATAGTTTCATTTTGAAGAAACCCTGGATGGGAAGGTTCACCATGACCCTGGCCTGAAGGGCCACTGAACACTGTAGATCCCAAGTGTCCCATGTGACCGGGCCATTCCACAGCCAGGAACTATCTCAGGGGAGCAAGTGGAGCCGTGCACACAGCAGCGCGTGCAGTAGCCCAAACCGGAAACCACCACCTTCTCATTAGCAGGGAAATGTGAGCCATGGAAGATGTTGAAGAAGAGTATGTACATTTATAGTATATTAAATGAAAAAGGTTATAAAACCTTTTGTATATTATGATCCCAATTATGCATACAGAAAAAATTTCTGGAAATACAAAAAATTTTAATACTTCTGGATAGTGATGTTTTCATAGAGTAAAAAGTTTTCCATTTTTGCTTTTTAGAATGTTCTAAGTTTTCTCCAGTGAATATTATGTTATTTTTTAAAAGGGAAAGTGTATTCATACCATGCTTGCAACATTCCAGCACTGCCATCCACTCGCCTAGTCACCATGAATCACTGTGCTCAATCCTGCAGGGCACGCAAGCATGTAAAGACCACCACTACAGATCCTGAATGGCAGAACAGGCTGCAGGGTCTTAAGGAAGTCAGCAAGGGCAAATCAGGGAGGACTTCCTGGAGCATGAGACACCTCGCCTGGGCCTTAGAGGCTGGGTAAGGTATTTATCAGCTAAGAAGCAGATACGGAGGCAAGGGGGGAGGGTATTTCCAGAGGAACAACCAATATGAGAAAATGCACAAGGATGAGGAAGACTTAAAACTGAATATAGAAACAGGATGTAAAACATTCTAGGGCCTTTTCTTTGGGGACTGTCTTCTAAGTTCTATAATAAAGCCTCTCTTATTCTCATTTTTAGCCCCAAATCACCTGTAGCTACCCTCCCCGCTCCCAGGTCCCTGACTCGTGATTTCTTTTCAGAAACATCATATCTACTCTCCAAAGCCAGAGTTGCTGATGTTAAGATGATTCTAGAGCATGTTGTGGTTCTGCCAGCAGCCCCCAGAGGACCATTTCCAGCCAACCTCTGGCCGTGGGAACTGTGAGGGTATAGGTCTGTGGCCTTCTCAGGAGATAGCTTGCTGGCATGCGGCACACCAGGCTGTATGAATTCAGGGTGTGGGTGTATTACTCGACAGTCCCATTCTATAATGTACTGAGGCTGAAGTTATTCTAGATTCATGATAAGGTCTTCAGTGATTCCAGTAGAAAATAGATCTTAGGCTATCCCATTAGTTCAGTTGGTTAGATAGAGCACAGCCTCATAACACCAAGGTCATGGGTTCAGATCCCTGTACAAGCCAGCTGCCAAAAACAAACCAAAAAAACCCCAACACAAAAAAAGAAAATCGATCTTGCTTTTGCAAAAGTCACATCTGGGCCATGAAGATGTGCCGAAAGGAGAGGCAGGCTTTCTGCCAGCAGGATCAGCCACAGGATCCTCGGATCACACCAGAGAAAAGGTTGGGACATTCTGGTTTTAGCACTGAAAGATCAACCAGGATAGTTGGTCACTCTGCCTAGGGGGCAAAATCATTCCCTTTGAGACCCACTGGGCCAGAAGGGCTCAGGTCATCTCTGTTCCACAGGGCACCTACAGACTGAGGTCTGTGCAGAGGACAAGTCTGGAAGAGGCAGAGCCATGTGTCTTCCTACACTGTCAGTTTTGCTCCAGTGTTCATTTTGAGGGGAAAAAGGGGGGAGGGAAATATGAAATAATTTACCTGAAAGGGCCCCAGAAATTCATAGCCTCCAGTGGGTCAGAAACGGTCACGGGGAAAGAGTGCTTCTGTCCTTGGCTGGAAAGCCTACCAAAGCATTCTCCCCTTTGGCAGATTTGGACAACTTTCCTTCCCAAATCTGCATGACAAAGGCTAATTTATATATATTTTTGCTGTCCATCCATTATAAATGATACTGTCAATTAACTTTCACCCAAATAAAGGGACTTTTTTTCATCAGTTTCTCTGAGGGTAAAATTATTTTATATAACTCACCCATTCCTTTATAGGGGTTAGATGTGGTTTCTGTCAATGAAAACTTTTCTGTCAAGTACTCTAGCACTGCCTCTTCAATGGATGCTGACCAGAGGGGCAGACCTTTCGCACTATTCAGGACAAGGGGAATCTCCATCAAAACTCATGCCTCACACACGTTGACCCCAGAAGTGATCACACAGCATCGACTCCAATCCCTCCAGTGAAGAGAAGCAATCTGAGGCCTCACCCACAGTCACATGGCAACACTGGAACAGCTGGGTAGTCCTGACTCTCCCCACCTGGCTTGCTCCACGCTCTATTGCCACCTCTAAAACTTGAGAATTAAGGTGACATCAAATAGAGGCTCTACCAGGCTGCCAGAAAAGAGAAGGCTTGTATAATTGATATTTGAAACTACTGATCCAGCCACATTCCTTCCCACCCCAAGCAAGAGTGTGTGTCTGGCGCCTCACCGGTAGGTGTCTTCTGAGTAGGTTTTCTGAACATAGTCCTGCAACTCCATCTGTGCTTTTTCTTGGAATTTTTCAATCTGGCTTGTGCTGGTCAAACCTGGATGATCTGAAAACAGAAAAGTACCCCCAAATTCTCCTGTGTTTGGGAAATCCTACTTGCAGACTTCTTAGTATTTATCTTCAAACTTCTCAAGTACAACAGATTGAACTCTGAAAGATGATCTAGTTTAAATGTTATTGTTAGAACACTGGCTTAAAAACTCTCTTTTCTGAGGCCGGCCCGTGGCTCACTCGGTAGAGTGCGGCGCTGATAACACCAAGGCCACGGGTTTGGATCCTATATAGGGATGGCCGGTTGGCTCACTGGCTGAGCGTGGTGTTGACAACACCAAGCCAAGGGTTAAGATCCCCTTACCGGTCATCTTTAAAAAAAAAAAACAAACTCTCTTTTCTGCCAAGGCCTTTAAGGTTTCCAGGAGGGGGCTGGGCTCCTGAGAGGACACACCAGCCTGAGTAGGTTCTAGACATCTGGTCTCTTACTACTCCAGAAAACACACAGATTTTTAAACTACCACATAAAATTAGAAATTATCATTTACTTCCCAGATATGTAATTACATAATCTCTCCCATTTTTATGAGCTGTTCTATTGTTCATGAGTGGAAGGCTAGGGAGAAAAGGAAGGTTAAGCTGTGTCCAGCCCTCACAGGTGAGGTCTGTGGTCAGCCCAAGTGATCTCTCTAGAGGCTTCAGAAGAGGGAAGCTGAGGGGAGTGAGCGAGGGAGGCCAGCCCAGTCACCTCTTACTTTTCACCACAGCCCTGCTTCCTCTTCTGCATCTGCTGTGACCATAGCTTTCAGCATGCTCTGCAGCAGCTGCTGCTACTGCTACGCAGAGACCATGGGGAAACAGACTGTGTGGCATTTCAACCTGTGCTAGATTGTATATGCTAACAGAACCTGGAAACAGGCAAAAAGCCCAAATTTTAAAAAAGGAAAAAAAAAAAAGACATTCGTTGGTAGTGTACTCTAATGTGTATGCCGTGATCTTGTTTGGCCAATGGTTTAGTTAGGATACAGATTAAATCGATTCAGTACACGATATCACCAGACACTGTGGCCTATTTCTCTGGGGCTGTGATGGCAAGGATTTAGAAGAATTTATGTATTTATGCTAACTTGCAAAGCATCTGTCATGAGAACACCAGGTCACATACAATATGGCAGGGATCTCTCTATACTGCTGATGATTTGATACCATGTTCATGTTCAGAAATATCAGTAGACTCAGGTGGAAAAGTGTCGTGAGTCCCCCCCACATATCTTACCAGGGCTAAAGAGAACTATAGCTTTAAGGTATGCGTACTCATAGCCGTCTATATCCAGCTTTGCCATGCTGTTACAGAACTCCTGCAGCTTCCAGATGTGCTCCATGACTTGCTTTATCCGGTCGCCAGAAAGTTTATCTAGAAACCAACATTACATCCTCTGAGAAGGGCTGATATGAACAATAAAACTAGCTTCTTTGAGGAACCACAGAACAAAAGAAATAGAAGAATAATTTCACTTTTTAATGAAAAACCAGTATAATCTTGAGATGGTCAAGAGCCTCATTTTCGAGCTGAAGTGGCAACAGGTCCACCCAAACCCTTCTCCATTGTATGTTCTGACTCGACAGCAAAGCCTGAGACCAGTGACGCCCTTGCCTGCCCCCTGCAGCTTCCTAGCCTGTAGGTGCAAACTGGTGATTCCTTTTATTCTGTGCCTAAGACTCGTTAGTTCATAGCAATGATTAGGTTTTCTAAGTCTCTGTAGGCACCTAATATATGTCTGCTGACCTGAACATTAAATGTTGGCATTTTTTAGTTGTCAAAACAATTTTATATGTTTTTTCAATTATTCCTCATGACAGTACACGCAGCACGTGGAGACTGCACTGGCTGTCTCCTATTCCTGACATGGCTGGTATTTTGACCACCAAATATTAGACAGTTGCCACAAATCTTACTAGAAGAGGGTCATTCGTTCATCCACGAGGAGCAGCTGGGGTGAGGTAAATGCATCCTGGGCTACAAGACTGGCACGATCCAGATCTGTGCTCCAGCTCCTCTACTTACTGTTTCATTTGGGGCTAGCTAGGGACCTTACTGGGGCACCAGTTTCTCCATATGTAAAACTGGGATAATAGCCCCTACTTTATAAGGTTGTGAGGATTTGTGAGCTATTATACAGGAAAGAATAACTTCTGAGTGAGGATGAAAATATAAGCTGTAATTATTCTGAAAACACTACTAAATGCCTATCAGGAAGCTGGCTTTTTTCAATCTTTTTTTTCCTCCTTCATATTCATTCTATGGAAAGAGTGCATCTGGCAAAAAATTTAAATGTTCTGACTGATAAAGGTCCCATGACTTAACAGTCAAACTTCTCGTAGCCTATGGATGCTGTGGGACACCGAGGCTGGCCAATTTGCCATGCTGCCAGCTTGGCTCAACAAAGCTGTCTTTGACACTGCCCTCTAGCCAGGGCTGGGCTCCACCCCACGTCACTGGGCCCTACCTTCCTGGATGCTGTTCTGTAGGTGGTTGACGATGGCAGCCAGGATGGTGGAGAGACTCATAACCTGGGCACACTGGGCAAGGCCAAGGGTGAAGAGCTCGTTCCAGCAGGCCCGCACCAGGCTGGTGTTGCAGTCCTGCCTGGGGACACAGAGAGGAAGGAGGCTCGGTGGGCTGCAGGCCGGCACTTCTCCAAAGATGAGGGACACACAGACCCTAAGCCCTAGCTTCCTAGAACAAGTGGATTCAGCAACTATTCGTTGAAGGTTTATGGTATGTCCAGGATCATTCTCCAAGAAAATGATAAAGTCTATGAGCAAGCCTATGAATGTTTTAACTAGAATCCCTCTGATGAAAAAGTATCTATTCTCTTTAAAGATTCTTTAGACTTAAGTAATGAGAAATTTTAATAGGAATGGCTAAAGCACCATTTCCTACAGCTTTCTAAATCCTCAGCAGTCCTGGCTTGGCTCTGTTCCAGGAGACGGTCCTGCAGCCAAGGTCATGAGGGCTATAAGGATCAAAGGACCATGAACTGAGTGTGGACTCTAAAGAAACACCCTGCAAACCCTGAAATGCAGGAGGCAGACTCTGTGCTGGAGCTGGGACTAAAGCAGGGAGGAAGGGTCCAGCTAAGGCTACTCTTAGCCCTGCCCTGGGTAATTCCTACTCAGGTTAGTTAGTGTGGTTGACACATTGCAAAATAATATGTCCTTTTTCTCAGAATGCCCCAGATGCAGCATCCCTCTGCCTGTCTCAAGATTTCAGGAGGCCAGAGAAACGGCTGTCTTGACAAGACTGTTCCTCCAGTTGCCTCAAGTATGGCCCCGCCATAGGCAAGCAACAAAAACCAGGGCTATGGGCACCATTTCCATACACACCCCAGATGCACGTCTCGTATTTTGTCATGATTGCTACCCTGAACACTAATCTATGAAGATTGGTATGTGAAATAAATGAAACCACTTTAAATGTGGCAGCATGATTTTTCTGTTTGTTTGTTTTGTTTTAAAAGATGACCGGTAAGGGGATCACGTTGTCAGCACCACGCTCTCCAACTGAACTAACCGGCCATCCCTATATAGGGATCTGAACCTGTGGCCTTGGTGTTATCAGCACCACACTCTCCCAAATGAGCCATGGACCGGCCCTGTGGCAGCGTTTTATCTAGCCTCGGCTGAGAAAACCTGTGGAGGAGGTTCCAAATCACTCAACTATAAAAAGTATATTCGTCAGGGCAGTGGATGATCACTTTTTAGCCCCACTTTAAAAATCTTAGCTACCTACCAGTACTAGTAACTGTGGGACTATCAACAAGACACCTGAAGGAAGACCATCTACCAGATGGCAGCAAGAGGCAGGCCATTCTCCCAAAGAGTTAACAATTAACTTGCAACACGTGTTCAGTGGTCACTGCCTGTGCAGCTCCCCCGGAACAATGAGGAGCAATCCTGTCCATCTCTCCTTTAATCAAGGAGTGTGGCAACCATTCTAACAACTACTCAGGGCACACACCACATCACCTGACCTATCTTTCAACCCTACTATGAGCCACCTGATGGGCACAATGGCAGCTTGCACCAACTGTACAGCACTTGGCACAAGGTAGAGCTGTGTTGGGATTTAGGGGAGAAACATGATCGACACACACAAGTGATGCTCAGTAAAGCAAGAAAGAGGGGCTTCCTGCAGAGAGAGCATCAGGGTCAGTGCTACTCCAGGTGCAGTCACCACTGAGCTAAGAAGCTTGTGTGAGAATGGAAACAAGTGCCCTGTGTTTTTAGGACACAACTGATTCACATTCATCTTGTCAAAGGCCCAGGCAAAGTTCCTGGCCTGGCTTCAGCTCTGAGTCACACTGTGCTACGCATGGTGCCAGGGACCACTCCTGCCTTCTATTCCACTTCATCCCCAGCTCCTAGCACCAAGTCCTTGGCACATGTAGGAAGTTCCATAAAGGTCTGAGGAACATGGTAGAACTGGCAAGCATGGTCCCCTACTACCTGATAGTATTTAATAAGAAACCTGGGATCCCTTGAACAAGGTCATAGGAATAGTCAAGGTGGAAGGGCCCTCTGAGATTTTCCAGGCCATTCCTTGAGAAGGGAAGGCCTCCGCCCCAGGATACATGCAGAGTATAAGGCCACTTACCCAAGTGCCTGGAAGGCTGGGATTGACCTAGCCCAGTGCATTGAGAGGAAAAGCAAGCGGGACGCAGACTCGCAGATGTAGTGCACGTTGAGGTACTCTGGCATCGGGCTGGGCATTGTCAGCTGGAAAAGAGGTGGTACAGGGGATAGCCTTGTCAACACGTGTCCCTGTCATGTTTCAACAATAGTGGCAACAAGAGTCACTGTCTCCTAGTGATTTTAAAGATCCTGTGTGCACCCATCTTTAGTGGAACGTATGTCTCCTGTAGCAGGAGGTTTGTACTGACTCCCCATGTTTTTTTGTTTAGTGAACTAGAGTCTAATGGACCTTGGAATATAGCCTGAGGGGGACTTTCCAGCTCACCCATACAAAACATACTCCAACTCTTGCCTCAGTTAAATTGTTATTTGTTCTACAGGAATTCCATTTTGAGCCACAGGTTAAAGTCCAAATTGAATCGGGGAGAGTGGGGGGAACAGGGGTCAACTTCATGGCCTAGCAGGCATTTCGGTAGGTGGCCTCAAGATAACAGTGAGTGAGAGCTGAGCAGAAGCCCAAGTGGTAGGATGATACCATATTATCAGAATGTCCGTCCTGGGCTCCTGGAGCTCCACTGTCTTGATTTGGGCTCCAGTGCTTTTGAAGCTGGAATCCCACTGGTGACCTGTATCCTGGGCATCCTTGGGCAACTATGGCAGGGACCCAATCATCCTAAGTGACTGGTCAGATCTCTCCAGTAAAGAATACTGGGGGTACAGGAAGACTCAGCTGGAAGACCTAGAGACTGAGAGGGTTTCAGATGCCCTGGGAGTGTCCTGTAGAAAAACCAAGGCCAGTGAAGGACAGCATTGGGGAAGACCTATGAGGACCTAAGAGCACTTTTCAAGGATGGCTAAGATCTGCTTTATATGGCTCTAGAGATCAAAGCACTCAGGATCAATGGTTGAGAACAAGGGCTGGCTGCCTACTTATTGAAGATTGTATGCAAGGGCTTCTATTACACAGAGAAGAGACAAAGGCCGCTGCCTGCTCCTATGCTAGAACCAGACTGGATGGGAAGACAGAGGCAGAGCAGTCAGCTGTCAGCGTGTCTTGGCAATTATGTGCCATGCCTGCTTCAGGCTTACCTTCAGAACCAAATGGCACTGTGAGCAAAAGAGGAGTGAAAACGCTTCCTTGGGAACACTGTTCTGGAAGACAAGATCCTGCTTTGAAGCCGTGATGTCAAATGCCACAAATGAGCTCACTCCAAGGTTTGATTTTTAAAAGTGCAGATGAGCTTTGGTACAGAACTTCTCCCCCAACAGGCCTGGGAGTCTGAGGGCATGTGGTTAGCTGAATGCACTCACCTTAAATGTGACGTGTGTGTCTGAAAGGAGGGGGCCTTCAACCTCAATGATGGGTGTCGACTGGTCTCTGCTGATGACGTGGATGCCCCCGCCTCCACTGGTGTCTATCCCATCTGCCAGGCTTGCTGGTGAGGAGCTGTCTGTGGTATTAAGTGCTTTAGCTAAGGTATCAAAAGCCCTGTGAGCAAAAATGAAGCAAGCAAATGTTGTGAATCTACAGCTTTTAGGAGGAACAGAGCTCTAGCTGAGATTTAACTTAGAAAAACAATGCAGTGGGGAAAAGATCATTAAATTCTACTTGCTGAAGGAAGGGCTAATGATGAAAGTTTCTATGCATTGTCTATACATCGTCTTTGGCACTGAGCTATATATTATTTATTGTCACATGCAATTTCTACTTTTCACCACTATACTCCAAAGATAGAATTCCTCTCCATTTTACAGATGTGAATGCTGAGATTTACAGATGTTAAATAACTTTTCCAAGGCCTTCCACATAGTAAGTGGTGAAACCAGAATTTTACCTAATTCAAATCCCATCCTCTTTCCATTGGACATAAATCTTAGTTTTGCTATCAGCCTGCAATTGAACCCGAGGGCCAGAGCACTTGTGTAGTCCCCAGCTATCCATCTGACTGGCCTGCCACGATGGGCAGGAGTGCAAGGAACAAAACACAAAAGCCAGTATCCTCAGCAGCCAGTTACTGACGTCTGGGGCCAGCTAATGCTATCAGCTAATATCGATCTAGCTATCCTGGTAGATTTAAGCTGTGAACTCACTACTTAGAAAAAATATACATGAGAAAAATAGGCTAAAATAGAATCAGGAAAAGGGATGAACTACTAATATGCAGGTGCATTAAACAGTGATTAATACAAGTAACATCTGTCCACCGAAAGGCTCCCCCTCCCCCCACTTCCACTGAGTAACTCAATTTCCTTTTTCATGCTTTGGAATAAAAAGCAATTTTGATTGTTTTATACCATGTAACGTAAGTGGGTCCATGTTTTCATAATTAAAATTTGAAAGAAGATAGACATCCAGGAACATCATAACAATTTTACAATTCTTTTTTTTTTTTTTTTGATGGCTGGCTGGTAGAGGGATTGAACCCTGGACCTTGGTGTTATGAACACCATGCTCTCACCAACTGAGAGAACTGGCCAGCCCTACAATCCTTAACGAAATACAGGATGGGTGCCAAAATGTTGTCATCCACCCTCACAACACAGTGACTGTGAGTGCAAGTCAAGAGGGGGCCTCAGCACTCATGGGCTCATACCGAGTAATCTCACTTGCAGACTGGTCCTCCGGCTGGACTTCCGAAGTGTCCCCATTGTTCAAGGATTCACTTAGGTTAGCAAGGGAGGTCACTACATTGGCCAGTGTGCCCAAAGCTCCCTGGCTTGTTTCAGCCTATTAAACAAAAAATAGTAACATTAAAAATGAACATACATGCAAATGACTCTCAAGCCAACGTAGGTCCAATGTTGGTTTAAAAACAGCTTCAAACAAGGAACAGCACAAGGGAGATCTTTTTAGTGATGAAATAGTTCTGTATCCTGCTTGTGGTGGTAGTTACACAAATCTACACACGTGACAAAATGACATAGTGATAAAATGACAGAACAAAACCAGATAAACTGGACTTCGCTAAAATTAAAAATTTTATGCTTCAAAAGACATTAAGAAAGTAAAAAGACAACCACAATACAAAACAAAACAAAACAACAACCCACAGTATGGGAGACAGTATTTGCAAATCATATATCTGATAATGATTTAGTTGCCAGGATATTTAAAGAACATTACAACTCAACAATAAAAAGACAAATAGCCCAATTTAAAAATGGACAAAGAAGATATACGAATGGCCAATAAGTGCATGAAAAGATGCTGAACATCAATGGAAGTGCAAATCAAAATCACAATGGCATACAACTTCATACCCAGTAGGATGGCTACTATCAAAAAGACAGACAATAACAAGTGTTGACAAGGATGTGGAGAAATCAGAGCTCTCATATACCGTGGTAGGAATGTAAAATGTGCAGCCACTTCGGGAAAACGTGTGGAAGTTTCTCAAAGTTTAAACATAAGAGTTACCATATGATCAACAATTCCACTCAAACAACCCAAATGTCCATCAATTGATAAATAGATAAAAACACTGTGGTATAGCCAGCCATACAATGCATATTATTTGGCAATAAAAAGGGATGAAATACTTATTCATGCTACAACATGGATGAACTCTGAAAACATGCCAGGACAAAGAAGCTAGTCACACACTGTACAATTTCCTTTATATGAAATGTACAGAACTGACAAAACCATAGACTTAAAAAGCAGATTAGGAGTTGGTAGGGTTTGGGAGGAGGGGGTAAGGAGGAGTGACTGATTAATGGGGTTTGGGTTTTTTTTGGGGGGGGGTGATAAAAGTACTCTAGAATTAGATAGTGGTGATGGTCATATAACCTTGTAAATACACTAAAAACCACTAAATTATATACTAAAAGTGTGAGTTTTATGGTATGTGAATTATATTTCCATCAAAAAAGAAAGCCAGACATATACTCAAATAAACACAAATGAGGGCCAGCCCGTGGCTCACTTGGGAGAGTGTGGTGCTGATAACACCAAAGCCACAGGTTCGGATCCTTATATGGGGATGGCCGGTTAGCTCACTTGGGAGAGTGTGGTGCTGACAACACCAAGTCAAGGGTTAAGATCCCCTTACTGGTCATCTTAAAACAAAACAAAACAAAACAAAAAAAACACCACACAAATGTCTGTTATATCTCGATTATAAAAGTGAAAAATTTGAATCAGTAGAAAAGGTCAAGGTCAAGGGTTTGGATCCCCTATTGGCCAGCTGCCAAAAAATAATATTGTGCAGCTGCTGTTAGATTTAGGTCATGATAGAAAGGTATGTTGAAGGGAATAAAAAAGGGTGTTGAAGGGAATAAAGAAGGGTGGGAAAGGGTCGAGCCCGTTGCGCACTCGGAAGAGTGTGGCGCTGGGAGCGCAGCAGCACTCCCACCGCGGGTTCAGATCCTATATAGATAGGGATGACCGGTGCGCTCACAGTGCTCACTGGCTGAGCGCGGTGCAGCCGGTCTCAAAAAAGGACCAAAAAAAAAAAAAAAAAAAGGGTGGGAAAAAACAGAACAATACACACACTTTGTACTGATGTCAATTTCCTGCTTGTGATGTTGTGCTCTGGTTATGTACAATGTAACCACTGAGAGAACCTGGATGAAGGCTACACCAGAGCTCTGTAATAGTTTTGTAGTTATTTCAAAGTAAATTATTTTGAATGTATAATTATTTCAAAGTAAAATCTAAAAAACAGCTTCTGAAACAGCTGTGCATGTTTTATTATTCAGAACAAACTTCTGGGGTGTGTATTCTTGTAGGCATGTGCTGCATAATGACATTTCTGTCAACAACAGGCCGCATGTATGACAGCACCATAGGATTATAAAGGCTCTAACATATAACCTAGTGAGTAGTAGGCTATACCATCTAGGTTTGCACAAGTACACTCTATGATGTTTGCACGATGAAATCGCCTGATGACACATTTCTCAGAATGTAACCCCAGAGAAGAGAACAGGGTAGTGTGCAGGTCTGATTCTGAAGCCTTCTCTTCACTACTGAAATACTTCACAGCTCTTGCATTCTTTCTCCTCTATCCAGTGACAATAACCAGTTCCTTACAGTTAACATTTATTAAGTGCTCGCTGTGTGCCAAGTGCTTTATAAAATTAACTTACTCTAGTTCCCAAACAACCCTTCATGGTAGGCATTGAGGAGACTGAGGTGTGGGAGAAAGGCATTCAGCTCCTGCAAGCAGTGCTGGACTCTGAGCCCAGGCCCCGCTGGCTCTGGAGTCTCAGTTCTCGTTCTGAATCTTGAGTGGTTAGCACAATAAAACAAGTGCTGTGAATCCCTTGGTAATCAGGATGTTTTAAGATCATTCGGGCCTTACTTTCAGGCTTATGCTTTCTCTACACCCCATTAAATAGCCAGAGACACTGATGCAGACTGGTGACAAGCAGAGTCAGGTGTGATCAAGCAGCTCACACCACAGACATTACCACTCCCAGAGACAGGAAGCTCGAAGCCCAGCCCGAGGACTAATTGGTACAGCAGGGCAGCTCTCCAGGCCATCCAAGAGCTCTGTATTTTACCTTCTCTTTCCCAGAAGCAGACCTTCCATAGCGTACCAAGTATGTGCATAGATGTGCGTGTGCCAGATCAGAAGAGAGCCTGCAGGCCTTGCTCTGGCTCTGGGCAGCAGCAATGCCAGCGCTCTCGGGTACCGAGTCACCCTCAGAGCTGTGGCTTGCTACTACTTTCTCATTACTTAGTTTACATCAGAAACAAGACAAGAAAAACAATGGGTTGCCTTGGCTGGATAAAACCCTCCTCCTTGGTTATCGTCACAGGAGCTAACCAGTTGTCTCTCCCTCTTGGATTGACAAATATCTCCGCATACAGGAAATTAAATTCCCTATGGCTGATTTGCTGTAGCAAAGCTTTAGAATTGTTAGAATCCTGGCTGAACTTCCTCCTGAAGAGCATCTAATGAAAAGGAACTGGGCTGTACCCCATAAAAATGTACAAATTAATGTTAAAATTAAAAAAAAAAAAGAAACTGGAGTTTTTGCAAAAGGCCATCTTGGGATAAGTAGCTATTTTCTCAGCATGCTAATAGTTTGTCGATGTGTATATGAGGAAAAAAAATCTTAATAGAGAACAGAACCACAGAATATCTACTGAATTGAAGTCTAGACTCTGACATGTTACAATGACTATGACCAGCCAGCCCTGACACAGATTTCTGAAAAGCCATCAGCATGCTTAAAACAAATCCCAGGGTAGCTGTAGCACAAGCAGCAGCAAATGGAGACACAGAAGGTTATGCTTTCAGTGTGGTCTCTGAAGGTCAAGAAGAAGGTGGGGCACACAGTAGAGAAGTGGCCTGCACTGTCCAGATAGAGGAGGAGAGGAAGCACGAGTAGAGAACAAACATCACCTTGGAATCCGTGGCCAGAAGAACTGTACCATCCTCACGTATCAAAGGCTGCTGGATGTTCACAAGCATCCCTGGATCAAGAAGACCTGTTTGTCTATTTAAGACATAAAGAAACCCAGAGTAGCTTCCAACATTTTATGCACAGTATGATCACGCTGCATTTACCCGTCCCTTCCACATTTGCAAAGCTGTCTGAACAGTAGAAAAACTCTAACTAGACTCGGCCACCGAGTAACTAACAGCTTCCCTTCTCTCTGCAATGAGATGTGCACAAAGTTGGGTCTACAGCCTGAAATAGGATGAAACACAATGCACATACCCTGGGGTTCTCCAGAATGACTGCAGACCGTGGCCATGCTGCCAAAAAAGTTAACTTGATTTTCAGAGAAATCACTAAGGCATCCTCAACTCCAGTTTTCCCTATGACACATTCTGGATTTCTTGTTTTCCCTCTTTCTGTTCCTTCTAAGTTCAATAGATTACATTGAAAACAAATCAACTTGTAGCACTACCTGGGACCTCACCTCACCTCAGGCTTTTGTCTGTACTGCAAAAAAAAGCCCTACTCTTGAACTACAGAACAACTGTTTTCCTGTATGAATGGTGCCTGAACTGCAGGGCATAATCCAAGCTTCTGAGACAGGAGAGTTTCTGACCCCCTCTTAAATCAGGCATCCTCAGGACTGTCCAGAGGTGTGGTTGAGCAGCTCCAGAGAGGTAGAACGAGGCAAGACAAGGCTGGAGGCTGAGGCAGGTGGGCGGGAGCCACATAAGCACCCTTCCCAGGAGGACCCGTGCTTCCTCTATCAGCTCCAAAGGCTGACAGCAGCACTGCCCTTTGTGAGAACAAGGGACTGACCTTGCTCCGTCTTTGTCGGCCACAAATGTGGGAGTGGCTATCAGAGGACTTCTCAGGTCCTTCCGGATATAGATTTTCTCAGTTGAAGCAGCACAATTGCTTGGTTTCTCCCGTTGCACATCAAAGGGCTTCCGCTCACTCTGCACAGCTTAAATCACAACATAAATACTCGTGTTTAGAGAGAAGATTCAAATCAATAAAAACTATGTCCCTCATGGTAAAATAAGGGGTCTTTCTTTGTAAATCCATTACTGTAGGAATGGTAAGCTCCGGTTCTGGATTTCCCTAGCTCAGTTTTCACAGTGGACTTTTTAGCCAAAGGAGAAAAGGGGTCAAAGTCAAACAATGCCATGTCAAATCTAAAGACATAAAAAAGAGCTAAAGATGGCAGGTGCTGCTTGCACAGGGAGAAACTGCAGCACTGCACCTGTGTAGCTTGTGGAGACCCACATGGAACCCTCTGGGTTTTCACTTACTGCTGCTAACAAAAGGGACTCTCCAGGACAATAAATCTCCATCTTCAAATGGGACCTTAACAGAGAGTTTGTCCTATGCCACAAACTGTAGCAGACCCTTTCTAATTTCCAACTCAAGCCTGAAGAGCTTTTGCAAACTGTTTAATAGATATCAATGTTTTTCTGCACTAGCAATCTCCTGCTACAGCAATCTAGTATAAGAACAAGTATACATGCCAGAGAAGCTAAAGAAAATGAAAACTTTTAAAAAGAAAGAGGCAATGAACCCCAGAGACTGGAATTCAGATATCCTGCTAACCAAACTGAAATCCAATTGGGTCTTAATTTCGCAGCTATAGCTGTGACTGCAAAAAAGTGATGTCAGTCATTGCTCTGAGTAAAAATATTCACTGTTGAGAAAGAGGACAGCCTGGCAATATGGGCCAGTCTCACACCAAGTCAGTGATGTATTTATTCACTTTGGGGAAAAAGCAATATTGCTGGATAAAATAAAAACATCACACAAGGCAGAAATTAGGTTGATACTTTAATTTCTCAAAGAACACATTTCCATTTGCTCCCCAATGAATTTTGCAGTTTCCTGTTCCCAGAAATGCAAACACCAATACTGAAATGTGTTTGTTTTCAGTCTTCTTAGGGAACATGCAGAAGATGAAAGAATCATGCAGCACCCTCAGCAGGAGCCTGCAGTGCTGGGTCTAGGGCCTCCAGCCCTGCCAGGTTGAGTATGTGCCCCACCTCTGCTAACCTCCACTTTCTTCCTGTAGATTGAGAGCCCAATTCCACTCTCCTTGGATTTCTCTTCCCTGCCTGTCTTGGATCCTGGTCTTCATGTTTTCACCACTAACAAGGGAATCGACCCCCGTGCTGACTGGTCCTTGTGGATGATGGTCTGGGTTTGGAATTCCTAACCCCCAAAATTCTAGCTACAGGAACTGAGAGGAGGGGCTTGAGACCTTTGGGCTGCCCCATACCTTTGGTCAACAGCTCTCCCTTTCAGAATCCCAGCTGCTCAGAAGCTTGGCAGAAGGTCTAGCCCCAAAGGAAGGTACAGGGACTAAGAAAACAGCAAGTAAAAGTAGGCTCATTCATGGCCGGCTGGTTAGCTCAGTTGATTAGAGCACAGAACTAATAACACCAAGGTCCAGGGCCCGATCCCTGTAATGCCTAGCCATCAAAAAGAAAAAAAAAAAAAGGAGGCTCATTCAGTCCTTAGGAGCAACACAGGAGGAAGGTCAGGAGTTCTAGCTCACAAACGAGCACCTGTGGGTGAGAGCAGCTGTATTTTTCCGTAGGCCTCCCAGCTCTTCACTGGTGGAGTGGGAGTTCAACTTGGTACCAACTTTACCAAAATGAAGCCTGAGTGGATATTTTTTTTTAAAGTATCTTAAGGCTAGGTACAGAAACCTTTTCTAATGAACTTTTGGCTTACTCATGTCGTTTTTTAAAATATTGTTACTCACATTCCATTTTCATGCCCATCTCTAAGCATTTTTTCAGCCGGCAAAACTGACAGCGGTTCCGGTGATGTTTATTGATGATGCAGTCTTGGTTGCTCCGGCAGCTGTAGGTCAAATTTTTCCTCACACTCCTTTTGAAGAAACCTTTGCAACCTTCACAACTGACAGCCCCATAGTGACGACCTGAAAGGAAAAAGAGTCCATGAAGCAGTTTGCCAAGAGAAGAGGTGATCTGGCAAGGGCCCCGTTTTGAAGGTAAGTCTATCAAAATGGTTGGTATGTAGACTGTCACATGCCAACAGCCACATGGATAACGGCAGGCCTGAGCATTAATCATAATGGCCATGTCCTTCACATAATTTCTCTACAATCTTTAAAGGAGCCTTGTGAGGTAATGATGTAAAACTGAAGCTGAGACAGGTCCCAGGACAACCGGCAAATGGCATGGCCTTAGAATACAAATGCTCTTAGCATACAAAGCAGCTAGCACGTGGTCTGAACCACAAATGAGCACTGAACTTCACTGTCCACTTGTGCACACCTGGTTCTTGCCCTGCAGACCTGGGCTTGTGAAGCCGCTCAGATCCCCTCTCCTTCCAGAGCGGCATGCAGCAGACACATGCATGTGCTAGTTTAGCACTCAGGGTCTGACTCCTGCATTTACTCCCTCTCTCTGATTCAAGTCCTGGGCCCTAGACTTCCCCTGGGGGAAGCAGAACAGTAAGAGGAAGAAGCATGGGGACTGGGACCAAGGGAAGGAGGGTTACTATATGGCTTGCTTGGGTTAGCTACTCAGATCCTTCTAGCAACATAGTCCTAGGAATATACATATTAAACGCAGTTCATCTTTCTAATCTTGTTTACCCTGTTATCTCTAAATTCCAACTACCAGTGACATTAAAAAGCACCCCATTTCAGTTTACCCTTCCTAGTTTACAAAGTGCTTTCACACATATTACACCTCATTTATTTCTAGCTGGGAGTAACCATGGATATGCTCTTCTGGTTCTGTCTTGTTTATACAACCCAATTTCATAGCTACATTGTTCGAGAGGACATATTTCACAGGATTATCATTTATGGAGGCTACAGATGATCCCACTGTCCTAAGCTCTAGTATGAGGAACCACTTCCCAAGTCTGTATTTGGAGGATCTCAATTTTGTCCTTTTAAGAGTAGTTATGCTAAGGGTGATGTCACCAAGATGACAGAACAGACAATCCCGACACTGCTCCCCTCCCCAACTGATCAATTTACAACTATTAAAACACAAAAACTGCCATCCTGTGATCACTGGAACTTGGGGGAAGAGGAGGAGAGAACCCGAGCCCACGAAGGTGTGGAAAGCCGCGGTGAGTGGGAGGAGGAATTACCCCCATCAGCCACAGATGCTCATAGAGCAGCTACCTAAAGATGGTACACAGCAGCACTCTTTGTGTGAAGCTACTTGGAATCTGCAAGAGAGAAGGGTGATGTGACCACTGGCAAAAACAAAAAAACAAAGCAAAACAAACACCAACAAAACAAAACAGAGCAAAACACTTCAAAGTGCACGATCCCATTTCCTAGGCTGGCAAGGCTGCTCACAAGCTTCTCCTATGCGCACATAGGAGGGAGGGGCCATAGCCAACAGGTGGAAGAAATCACCCAGAGCTTGACGAGTGTTCATGAGGGACTCACGCAGGCAAAAGTGTATAATGTCAGCAAGGGAGTGGTTGGTGGTGGCAAGCCACCAGGGGTGCATCAGGGAGCAGTGTAGACAACTGATATGCCTTCTGATTAGCATGTGTGCCATACAACGAAGACTGGTGAGTGCAATAGAACTATAGAGGGCATAGTTAGTGGGAAAGGCTTGGTCTTGGGTCAGAATTTCCACACAGCCCAGTGGTGCTTGTGGTTACCCCACATAACCTGGAAGTGACTAAAAGGCTAACATTTAAAATCTGGTCCTTACAAAAAGTTTTTCACAGTCTAATAAACAACACCAAGACAGCAATTTAGCACAGGCACAGAGTTCAAGTTCCAGTGCTGCAGGAAGTTTCCTCCAATATGGGAATTAATCACAGGACAGGAAATTAGTTCCAGTGCAATTTTAAGTGGTGGTGGTGGCTATTAATCTACCACGGAAGGGGGAAAAAAACCACAGATCAGAGACAAAGTTCTGACATTTAGCATGAAAGGTCTAACACCACTAAAGAACACCTATAAAAAGTGGAAGATGTGGCCATCTACTCAAATGTCCAGTCAGCAACGTAAAGACACAAATATCAAGAAAGAACAGAGAAATATAACACCACCAAAGGAAGCCAACAAGTGCCAGAAATGGACCCAGAAAAACAGCGGATTTATGAAATGTCTAACAGAGAATTCAGAATAATCCTCTTAAAGATGTTCAGGGAGTCGCAAGAAAATATAGATTAAAAAAATTAAATGAGGGCCGGCCCGGTGGCGCACTGCTACAGTGCGCCGCTTGGGAAGTGCGGCGGCGCTCCCGCCGAGGGTTCGGATCCCACATACAGACCGGCCGCTCACTGGCTGAGCGAGGTGCGGGAGCAACACCGAGGGTTGCGATCCCATTGCCGGTCCCGGTCCAGTACGGGCGCGACACTGAGGGTTGCGATCCCTTGCCGGTCACGAAAAAAGACAAAAAGGGAAAAAAAAAAAATTAAATGATATTTGGAAAACAATCCAGGAGCAGAACAAAAAACTTGACAAAAAATAGAACCAATTAAATAAAATCAAATAGGCATTACAGAAATAAAGAATACATTATCAGAACTGAAAAACTTGATTGAAAGCTCCAACAGCAGACTTGATCAAACAAAATAAAGAATCGCTGAGCTTGAATGCAGAACATAGGAAATTATCCAATCAGAGGAGCAAAAAAAAGAGGTAAGAAAAAATGAAACAGAATTGTAAAATAACTTCCACATAATTGGTGAACCCAAAGAAGATGAAAAAAGAGGAGAGCTAGATAGCATATTTAAGGAAATAATGGCTGACAATGTTTCAAGTACGGAGAAAAATGATAGCATCCAGGTATGGGAAGATCAGAGGTTACCAATCAAATTCAATCCAAAGGGACATTGTAATCAAATAATCAAAAACCAAAGACAAAGAAAGAACACTGAAAGTAGCAAGAGAAAAGAAACACATAACATTCAAAGAAGCCCCAATAGGATTCTCAGTGGATTTCTCAGTAGAAACCTGACAGGCCAGGAGAGAGTGGGATGATATATCCTAAGTGCTGAAGGAAAAAGACTGTCCACCAAGAATTCTGTATCCAGCAAAACAGCAAAACTAACCTTCGAATATGAAGGAGAAATAACGTCTTTCCCAGACAAAAAGCTAATGAAATTCATTAACACTAGACCTGCTTTACAAGACATGCTAAAGGAGTTCTTCAAGCTGAATGAAGATGATGCTAAAAGTAACAAGAAACCATTTGAAGGTATAAAACTCACTAGTAAAGTAGGACACTGACATTCACAGAATGCTGTAATGTTGTAAGATTGGTGAATAAACCACTTACATCCTCACTACGAAGACTAAAGGACAAAAGAAAAAAAGACTAAAGGACAAACTCAATAAGATAATAAACTCAACAACTGTATAAGAGACAGACAATATTGTAAGATGTAACTTGAAACAACAAAATGTCAAAAAGGGGGGGAATGATGTCAAAGTGTAGAGCTGGCTTTTGTTTCTTCCTTTCTTAGTGATCAAAGCTAAGTTGTTTTCAGTTTAAGATAATCTGTTATTACTATACCATGTTTTTGTAAGCCTCAGAGTAACCGTAATACGAGAACCTATACTAGACATACTAAAAATCAATAGCAAGAAATCAAAATACACTACTAGAAAAAAACATTTAATCACAAAGAAAGACAGTAAGACCAGAAAAAAGGGAGAAAGGATCTACAAATCAACAAGTAAAAAAGTAACAAAATGGTAGTAACAAGTCTCTATGTATCAATAACAACTCTAGGCTGGCTGGTTAGCTCAGTTGATTAGAGCATGTGTTATAACACCAAGGTCAAGGGTTTGGATCCCTGTATTGGCCAGCCACCAAAACCCCCCAAAACAAACAAACCAACAAAAAACCAAGGAAAAAACCCTCTAAATGTTAATGGAGTAAGTCCCCCAATTTAAAGGCACAGAGTGGCTGAATGGATTATAAAACAAGAACCAACAATATGCTGCCTACAAGACACTCACTTCACCCATAAGGACACATATCAACTGAAAGTGAAGGAATGGAAAAAGATATTTCATGCAAATAGAAATCAAAAAAGAGCAGGAGTAGTTATACTTATATCACATAAAATAAACCTCAAGCCAAGGAAAGTAAAAAAAGGTAAGGAAGATCGTTACATAATGATAAAGACATCAGTTCAACAAGATGATATTATAATTCTAAATATATATGCACCCAACATCAGAACACCCAAATATATAAGGCAAATAATGCTAGACCTAATGGGAGAAATAGATTCCAATACAATAATAGTTGGGGACTTTAATACTCCACTTTCAGCAAAGGACAGATCATCCAGATAGAAAATTAACTGAGAAACATTATAGTTAGTCTGTACTCTAGACTGATGAGACTTAATGGACATTTATAGAACATTTCATCCAACAGCTGCAGAACACACACTTTTCTCAGTAGCACATGGAACATTCTCTAGACTAGAGAGTATGTTAGGTCACAAAACAACTCTCAACAAGTTTTAAAAAACTGAGATCATGCCAACTATCCTGTCTGACCACAATGGAATAAAACTAGAAATCAATAACAGAAAGGACAGGGGCTGGCCAGTTAGCTCAGGTGGTTAGAATGTGATGCTGATAACACCAGTGTCCAGGGTTTGATCTCTGTACCAGCCAGCTGCCAAAAAAAAAAAAAAAAAAAAAAAAGAAAGAAAGAAAGAAAGAAAGAAAGAAAGAAAACCAGAAAGGACTTTGGAAACTGTACAAATACACAGAAATTAAACATGCTCCTAAACAATGAACGGGTCAAAGAAGAAATTAAAAAGAAATTGAAAAATTCCTGGGGACAAATGAAAACACAACATACCAGAACCTATGAGATGTAGCAAAAGCAGTTGTAAGACAGAAGTTTATAGCAATAAATACCTACATCAGAAAAGTAGAAAGACTTCAAATAAATGACCTAATGTTACACCTCAAGGAACTGGAAAAACAAGAACAAACCAAACGCAAAATTAGTAGAAGGAGAGAAATAACAAAGATCAGAGCAGAAATAAATGTATTAGAGATTAAAAAACAATACAAAAGGTAAAAAAAAGTTGGTTTTTAGAAAAGATAAACATAATTGACAGACCTTTACCTAGACTAATGAAGAGAAAAAGAGAGAAGCCTCAAATAAATAAAATCAGAAATGAATAAGAAGACATTATAACTGATACCACGGAAATATAAAGGATCATAAGAAACTATTAAAAACAACTATACACTAACACACTGAAAACCTGGAAGAAATGGATAAATTCCTGGATACGTTAAACTTACCAAGGTTGAATCAAGAAGAATTAGAAAACCTAAACAGACCAATAATGAGTAATGAGATTGATGCAGTAGTAAAAAGTATCCCAAAGAAAACCCAGAAAGCTCACTGCCAAATTCTACCAAACATTTAAATAAGGACTAATACCTATTCTTCTCAAACTTGTCTGCAAAATTGAAGAAGAGGAAATACTTCCAAACATATTCCATGAGGCTGGCATTAACCTCCTACCAAAACCAGAAAAAGACACAAACAAAAAAATAAAACTAAAAAATAACATAAGTTTCTTATGATCCTTTGTATTTCCATGGTCCGATATCCCTAATGAACATACATTCAAAAATCCTCAACAAAATACTAGTGAGCAGAATCCAACAACACACTGAAAAGATTATTCACGATGATCAAGTGGGATTCATCTCAGGGATGCAAGGATGGTTCAACATATGCAAATCAATAAATGTGAACCATCACATCAACAGAATGAAGGAAAAAAATTACATGATTACTTCAAAAGATGCAGAAAAAACATTTGATAAAATCCAACACCCCTTCGTGATAAAAACACTCAGCAAATTAGGAATGTACCTCAACACGATAAAGGCCATATATGAAAAACCCACAGCTAATATCATATTGAATGGACAAAAATTGAAGGCCTTTATTCTAAGATCTAGAACAAGAAAAGAATGCCCACTTTCCCCCATTTTTTTCAACATAGTAGTGGAAGTTCTAGCCAGAGCAATAAGGCAAAAAAAGCAAAAAAGGGCATCCAAATCAGAAAAGAGGAAGTCAAACCATCCCTATTTGCAGAAGATGAGAGCTGGCCAGTTAGCTCAGCTGGTGAGAGCACTGTGTTGTAATGCCAAGGTCAAGGGTTTGCATCCCAGTACCGGCAAGTATCAAAAATAAAATAAAACAGAATGCAGATGACATGATCATATATACAGAAAACCCTGAAGACTTCACCAAAAAATTATTAGAATAAATGAATTCAGTAAAGTGGCAGGATACAAAATCAACACACAAAAATTAATAGCATTCCTATATGCCAATAATGAAATATCTGAAGGAGAAATCAAGAAAGTAACCCCTTTCATAATAGCTACCAAAAAACTGAAATACCTAGGAGTAAATTTAAACAAGGAGGTGAAATAGCTCTACAACAAAAACATAGGTGAAAGAAATTGAAGACACAAATATACAGAAAGACATCCCTGTTCATGGGTTAGAAGAATTAATATCCTCAAAATGTCCATATTACCGAAAGAAATCTATAGATTCAGTGGAATCCCAATCAAAATACCAATGACATTCCTCACAGAAATAGAAATACTTCTCTAGAAATTCCAACTTGCCTGCCTCACTTACTTTCTATGGCTCTGTAGTGCTAGCAAACCAAAGTCTGAACTTTTGTTTGTTTTTTTTAAAAGATGACCGGTAAGGGGATCTTAACCCTTGACTTGGTGTTGTCAGCACCAGGCTCAGCCAGTGAGCCAACCGGCCATCCCTATATGGGATCCGAACCCGCGGCCTTGGTGTTATCAGCACCGCACTCTCCCGAGTGAGCCACGGGCCGGCCCCCCGAAGTCTGAACTTTTGGACCAGACATCTTCTCCAGTCTCCCTTCACCCACATCCTAACCATGGAAGCCCATGAGCTCTTCCCCTAAAGACACTGTGGGTATTGACATTAAACTCCCTGGGCCCTGGCTCCACTCACTGAAATTCCCTTTTTCTGCTTCTCCCAACATGCACATGCTCAACCACCAAAGCTCCCAGGTGTGACTGCCTCTGTGGGGCCTTCCCTATCCCTGGGACTCTAGCCAGAATCACATGCTTCCTCCTCCTCCATACAACAGTTTATCACACTGGGTTACAGTAAGGGGATGATACAGTAACAGGATGAGATGGGGGATTATACAAAAACCTCATCTTGTGAAACAGCAAAGCACTGTAAAAATATTAATTAGATTAAAGAAATGACTTTCTTAGTAGCACATAAATACTAGACACTCAACCAAAATTTTCAAATCACAAAAACAGCTTGACTTTTCCTTTTGATTCTAATAATCTGACAAACTGCTTTGCTTATTTATATCACTACTCCAAACAAGAAAAGTGGAGTTCATGTTTGAAACCCACAAACCTACAGAAGATGTTCTTTCTAAATTAACTCGTGCCCTGCTGCACCCCACAACTGTTAGTTACTGCTGTAGGTTCATGAGGCATAACTGGGCACTACATACCAGAGGCTTTGTCGCCACAGACCACACAGTACTCTACCACCTGGGGCCGCTGGACTTCCGCCTTCCCCAGCAGACGCTCCACAGAAGCAGAATCCGTGACGATCTAAGAGAAATCAGGAAACAAACAGGATGCCAATGAAAAACGAGATCACTAAGCAAAGTAATATTTAACTGTAAATTCCTAATCTTGGGTTTCTAAGAGGGAGAATTCTGGGCAGAAGTGGGAAAATTCCAGCTGACAACTGAATCTGTCATCCCGACTGGCCTTGTTGCTCATCTGGACTGTGCCCCTTCAGGTGGGTGGTTTTCCAGGGTCAGGTCATGATTTTCAATGACCTACTCTCCTATCTGGCTACTATAACCACCAAGATTGGAGTCCATGTGAGGAATCACACACAGATGCTGCAAAATAAAGATATTTAAGGTTTTTCTGGCTGTCTCTCTATTCTCATAAAACTACATGAATGCAGGCAGAGAGATGATTTTGGCAGGAAACAACCAAGTTTTTATTATTAAATAACTAGGTCTCTCTTAAGGCAGCTGGTGCTGGAAGGTCAGGAATAGATGACCTCTGAAACCTGCTATTTCCCCCTTATTTGTAGGTGACTTTCTAGGTGACAAACAGTGCTACTCATCTGGGAGAATAGTGTAACTGATATCAATATGAGAAAGTGAAAAATAGCTGTTATTAAAAAACGTACTTCGGGCCGGCCCGGTGGTGCACTGGATAGTGCGCTGCTTGGGAAGTGTGGCGGCGCTCCCGCCCGAGGGTTCGGATCCCACATACAGACCGGTTCCCGCTCACTGGCTGAGCGAGGCGCGGGAGCAACGCCGAGGGTTGCAATCCCGTTGCTGGTCCCCGGTCCGGTACGGGGGCAACACTGAGGGTTGCGATCCGTTGCCGGACACGGAAAAAGACAAAAAGACAAAAAAAAAAAAAAAAAAAAAAAAAAAAAACGTACTTGTGCGGCCGGCCCCGTGGCTCACTTGGGAGAGTGCAGTACTGATAGCACCGATGCCGCAGGTTCAGATCCTATATAGGGATGGCCAGTGTGCTCACTGGCTGAGCGTGGTACAAACAACACTGAGCCAAGGGTTATGATCCCTTTACCAGTTGGGAAAAAAAAAAAAATGTACTTGTGATGTGCACGTGGTCCTCATATTGCAAAAAAAAAAAAAAAAAAAAATTCAAAACCAAAACCAAACAAACACAAGAACACAGAAAATGTACTTGAATTTGAATCAATAATAAGCTTTAAAATGATTTACTCATGGTGAGAACATATACAGAAATCATTATGTAGAATCACCTCTTGTGAAACATGTAACAGAATAAACAGCCATCCTTTCACAAACAAGGAGTACTCTAAATAAGCAAGCAGGAAGGACACTTCTGATCAAGATGGTGGAATAGATGGTCCCCAGCTTCACCTTCTCCCACAACCAATTTACAACTATTAAAAAGCAATGACTGCCAAGCTAGGCCTACTAGAGCTCAGGTGAAGAGGAAGAGAGACCTACAGAATTCATGAAGGCAGGAGAAGCCAGGTTGAGAGAAAGAAAGGATCGCCCTGTTTTGAGTCCTGACCACTCCACAGCTGGCCCTGGTGAGCACACGGAGCAAGAGCTGGCATAAGCCGCTGCTGTGCCCTTTGTATGAAGTTGCTTGGAAGTGGCAGGGGAGAAGAGGGTCTTGGGGGCTCCAAGCCTAGCAAGATGACTAACAGAGTTCCCGTGGACCCACATAGGAGCAAGGGGCCACAGAAACTGAAAAAAGGAGCCACTCCAAGGCTGGTAAGTCATCATAAGGGACCAGGCATGTCCTGTCCCATTGAAGTGTTTGGAGTGCAGGGGGTGGGGGAGGCAGGCCACTGGGAGAACATTGGGGCATATCACAGACAGGTGATCTGCCCCCCAATCAGCACAGGACCACTCAGTGGAGACTGGTCAGGAATATAGAACTGCAGGGGGTGCAGTTTCCTGAAAAGACTCAGGCCCAGCCCAGAATTTCCACACAACCCAGGTGTACTGGACCTCACAAGACCCAGAAGTGCTTACGAGGTCAACAATTAAAACCCGAGGCACACAAAAAGCCTTCCCCCCAAAATCGGCAGCAAAGCAGCAATTTATTTCAACCGCAGGGCTCAAATGCTGGTTCCCACTGGAAGTTCCTCCATTTTAGAAGTAAGCAAAGGACAACAAATTAGTTCTAGTGCAGAGTTTAAGTGGTGGGAATAGTGAATAATCAAACACAGAACTGAAAGAAAAAACAAAAAACCCACAGATCAGAGACCAAGTTCTGATATTAACCAGTAAAGGTCTAATACCACCAAAGAACACCTATAAAACCTAGAAGGACCAGAAACCCCCCAGGTTCCCAAACCAGGGTGGGGGACTGAGGGCCTCAGCCACCCTCCCCCTCCCTGTCTACATCCAGCCCAGCAACAACTGAGTCACTGCTAGAAGCACCCTGGGCTCCTGATCTGAGGTGGGGTGGGGTGGGCTAAGTGCCTCATCCACACCCCCGCAACATCCTCATCCAGCCCAGGGATGACCACAGAGCCACTGCCGGAAGCCCCCTGGGTTCCCCTGCCAGAATGAGGGGGGTACCAATGGCCTCAACTATGCCCCCCTCTTCTTCCTCCCACCCTGTCCTCCTCTCTTTTCCCCTCCCCCCAACTGCTCTGCAACATCTTAAAATGTAAATAATAATATATTAATTAACTAAAAAAGAAAAAGAGAAAAATAAAAACAGGCAAGCAAGGAAGAATTCTGATTTCAGATGATCAGAATGTACTCTGGGAAAGGAAGGATGAGCCAGTATTTACTAAGTGCAGTATAAGGTGTCTCAAAAGTACAACTGTGTGGACCGGCCCGTGGCTCACTCGGGAGAGTGCGGTGCTGGTAACACCAAGGCCATGGGTTCGGATCCCATATAGGGATGGCCGGTTGTTCACTGGGTGAGCGTGGTGCTGACAACACCAAGTCAAGGGTTAAGATCCCCTTACCGGTCATCCTTAAAAAAAAAAAAAAAAAAAAAAAAAAGTACAACTGTGAAAGCTGAACACACTGGTATTCTGAACCCAGCTCAAACAGAAAAAAAAGAAACTATTTCCTTCCTTAAGTTTCTCCACAGAACAGAGTCCCCCCCAAAACACATGAATTCTTAGCAGCATTATCTGCAATAGCCCAAAGGCGGAAGCAATCCAAGTGTCCAGTGACAGACGAATAAACAAAATATAATCTATCCATACAAGGGAATATTTTCAGTCTTAAAAAGGAAGGAAATTCTGACACATGCTACAACATGGATGGACCTTAAGGATATTGTGCTAAGTTGAAGAGCCAGTTGCAAAAAGACAATTACTATATGACTATACCCATATGAAGTACCTGATATAGTTAAATCAGAGACAGAGTAGAATGGTGGCTGCCAGGGGCTGGGGGGAGGAATGGAAAAAGTTATTAATTCAAAGGTGCAGAGCTTCAGTTTGGGAACATGAAAAGAGCTACAGAGATGGATGATGGCACAACAATGTGAACACACTAAATGCTACTAAACCATACACGTAAAAGTAGTTAAGATGGTTAGTTTTATATTATGTGTATTTTATCACAAATTAAAGAAAAAAAAAGTTAAAAACAAATAACATGGATTCTATCTTGACCCTGACTAAACGTGCTTTGTGCTTGCCCACCATGGAACACTGGCCCTGAGTCTCTGCTGTCTAAGCATAAAGCTTGGAAAGTCAGTCCTTCCCAACTTCATGCTGAGCAACAATCCTACCTTCCTTCGATGCCAGCTCTTCTCCTTCCTTCCCGTAGTTGGGGGTTCCTGCCTCCAAACCCATCCTGCCTTGCCAGAGTAGGGAAAACCACGACAGAGATGGAGACAAGAACTGAGGGGCCCAGAGCCCAGCAGTTCATAAGAGCAAGTAAGGACAGAATGAAAAGCTGGGCCCAGGCTTAATAATCTGGACAAGGCAGAGATAAGAGTTAGGAACAAGTCAGTTTTTGTCTGGCTATGGTCAACCCTAGGTAGTGCTTTAAAATATCACTGGCCAAGGGCTGCCACTATGTGGCCTTAGTTGAGAACAATTTTCCAGTGGCTTCAGTGCTACCTTGCTCATACCAGTCTCCTTGCTCATGCTGCTGACTTTTCCTGGCTCAACTTCCACCCCCTCTGCGGGTTATGGTTGACTGTCCTCTGGGCCTAGCAACTCATTTGCTGTGTTTTCATTTTGGCCAGAGCAGCAACCTGGCTGTTTGCAAGTACCCAAAGGACCTTCTAGGGATGGATTTGGCATCCAAGGCAAAGGTAAGAACAAGTCAGAAACAAGCTCAGCAGCAGAAGTGCTAGAACGAATACCTGTCACAGGCCTTACCTGTATCCTGCCAGGTACGAGGTTGTCTGAGGTGGTAAATATGAGCTGTTTGGCGCTGGATGTTTCTGGGGAAGCCAGGATCACCTTCCCAGTTCCAGCTCCATCTGGGCTGGTCAGGATAAACTGCTGTTTGGGAGATCCGGAGGCGTCCACTGCGGTGACTATTTGGATCTTCTGACCTGTCTGTTGGTCTGTCACAATCTACAAGATACAACATGGAGGCTGCTCTCACAGAGCATCGTGAGACCCGTGCACTTGCAGGTCATGCTCAAAAGTGGTGACTGTCAAACGCCAGTCCTTGAGTTAGTGCCAGTCCAAGATGCCGTTTCACCAGTCCATGGTGAAGTGAGAATAAAACACAATAGTGAGCTCATCAGAAACAAACTTTCATATATTTTCTACTATTTTTAAAATTAAAATGCACTTTCTTTTATAAAATGAAGGAATAATAAATAATAGATGATAGGTTTAACTTAAAAAAAAAAATTTGTCCTGGCATAATAAAAAATGTAGAAAACCCTTACTCTTGAATGCTACTGATCCATAAAATCCGAAAACCTGGGAATGATTACTTTAAAGAAGGGCTATTTCTAAAGGGAAGGTCCTGTAAAAATTTTACCATGCGGGCACAGAATACAGAGACTCCCTTGCTGACACACACCTGACTCACTCTGAGATCTTTAAGGACAGAGACTACATCTGACTCACTGCTGTAGCCCAGGGCCAGGGCAGGGCCTGGCACTTGGAGAGAAGACAATAAAAGACTGCACTAAAGGCAGTGGGCACTGGCTCCAGAGAAGTCCTGGCCCTGATTCCTCTAGGGATTCCCACCATCATGAGCCACAGCTGTCAGAGCCTACCTCCTCCCAGAGTCCTTGCCTTAACTGCATCAGTCATGATAAAAACAGTTGCTACGGCAAGAGTGACCTCTCTTATTTCTGCTTATAAGTTCTTTGAAGCTGTTCTAGACGTGTCCTGCCTCTCTTCTAGGCCAGGTGCCCCCAACTTGCAGTGCTGCCCAGCTCTTCCTCAGGACACCAGCAGACCTCCCTGCAAGAAGAACTCTCGGGGCTGCAGTTGCTAGGACTCGGGCAAGGGAAGATGTACTGCATCTCTGGCTGGAACTCGATTTCTTATGGCACAGCACATTATGGGCAGGTCTGGTATCTGTACCACCCCTTGACCGACTTTGTGAAATGGAACTCCCGAGGTTCAGACAACAAACTCACTCAGTCTAACACAACAGCTTTGCCAACTGCCCAATATGGAAAATCAGACAATGTTGGTTGGTTCAAAATAAAACGGGCAAGAAATGATCCAATCACTTAATAAATGTTTACTGAGTGCCCAGTATGTGTCAAGTACTATTCTAGGTACTACGGACACAAACATGAAGAAAACAAAGGTCCTGCTTTCATGGAGCTAACCTTCTAGTGCGGAAACAGACCATACATAAACACTGATATTAACGAATATCAGTCAGTCAGTGGCAAGTGCCATGGAGAAAACTAAAAAGCAGAATAAATAGACAGAACATGACATTGGAAAGGAGGCAGAGAGGCAACCTTAGGAGGAAAGACCTCTTTGAGCCAGTGACATTGAGCAAAGACTTGAAAGAGGCAAGAGAGGAAGCTGCAGGCTGAGAGCCCAGTGAGTGCAAGACCAAGGGGACAGTGAACAGGAACCTAAGGTGTAAGGATGAATTCTTAGCTGACTGCTGGAAGATGAACCCCAGTATATCATCACTTCCAAGTGAAGGGTCAAAAGATCTTTGAGGCTGAAGAACAATTTTAGAGAGAAGAAAAGGAAGTACCTTTCACTGTTAGAACCCATAGTATACCCAGAGTGCCCAGGAAAAGTAAAACACGAGACAGAAAAACCTAGTGAAAGGAATTCTCTTTTAAAAAACTTTCCTACCAGGGCCGGTCCATGGCTCACTTGGGAGAGTGTGGTGCTGATAACACCAAGGACACAGGTTCAGATCCCTATATAGGGATGGCCAGTTAGCTCACTTGGGAGAAAGTGGTGCTGACAACACCAAATCAAGGCTTAATATCCCCTTACTGGTCATCTTTTAGGAAAAACAAAAACAAAAACAAAAAACTTTCCTACCCAATGCTTAATTGACAGATTGCAGACACAGGCTGGTTGACACATACTTCTCTCAGCAGCCACAGAAGGGACTCCTGCCTTGGATAAACGAGTTAGTGTTCAAAAGTCCTTCATAACCTTGAGATCTGCAAGTCAAAATGTTTGACTTCCTTTTCATATCTATCAATTCTTATTTCCTTCCTAAACAGGTTTTCCTGTTAAAAAATGACACAGTCATGTGATTGAGGGGGGTCTTCAATTACCAACTAAAACCAAGGCAAGGCTGGTAATTCCTTTGCTCCTAGTGTGTTTGGAGATGATACACGCACCACCTGAGCACACACAAGTAACTAGCATGACATTTCCTCTTATGCTCTCCTGCAGTCCTCATGGTTGGGACATGGCAGTTATGGGGCTGGGCTGGTAATTCCTTTGCTCCTAGTGTGTTTGGAGATGATACACGCACCACCTGAGCACACACAGGTAACTAGCATGACATTTCCTCTTATGCTCTCCTGCAGTCCTCATGGTTGGGACATGGCAGTTATGGGGCTGGCGTAGGGACGTGGAAGGTAGGAGTATCTATGTCTAGACAGGGACAGCAGCTCTTGACGGCTGTACATAACATATTCTAAAGCCCAGATTATTCTTTTGTTTTTTCCCCAAAGACTCAGGCTCACATACATTCAATGAATTACTTACAATTTTTTTGTCTTTTTATCTTCCCCCTCCCAAGATATTTTTGTTCTCCATTTAGAGAGATCACCTATTATCCTCCATGAAAAAACTAAAAATGTAGGCAAAAAAAAAAAAAAAAAAATCCCCCAAATACCCTATTGAAACCCAAAGTAGACCATTAGGTAAACAAAGACCTTATTAACAAACACTAGCAGGTAGACTTTTCTTTAATGAGACCGAAGAAACGTCAAATTGTGAAGATGTATTCAAACCCATTAAAGTTTAAGTCCCCTGTGGAGAAGTGAAGGAGAGATGTTGTGAGTAGAATTTTATCCCCCAAAGAGACAGGTTCAAGTCCAAACCCCCAGTACCTATGAATGTGACCTTATTTGGAAATAGGGCCTTTGCAGCTGTAATTTGAGTTAAGAGGAGGTCATACTGGATTAGGGTGGGCCCTAAATCCAGTGACTGGTGTCCATATAAGAAGGCCATGTGCCAATGCAGGCAGAGATTAGTGATGCAGCTGTAAGCAAGCAAGCACTGCCAAGCATTGCTGGCAACCACCAGAAGCTAGGGAAATGTAAGGAAGGATGCTTTCTTAGAACACTCAGAGAGAGCATGGCCTGCCAATACCCTGATTTCAGACTTTTGGCCTCTAGAACTGTGAGAGAATACATTTCTGTTGTCTTAAGCCAGTGGCTTATTTGTGGTAATTTGTTATGGTATCCCTAGAAAACTAATACAAGAGACAAACATTGCTTAATTTTCTTTACTTAAAACAAATGTTCATCCTCTAACAAACTGCAGGGAGGAGAGTAATGTAAGAAAGGATGTCTCGTTTTCTGTGTGAATTTTAAGGCTCTCCATAGGTCAGAGCTGCTATAAGGCTTGTTGTGAAAGGATGAATCTGTTCCAGTGTGATTGGTGTGTTAGTGAATAACATGAGCATAATACAAACCTTGCGTTTGTTTATGCACAGTTTCTTCTGTGAAAAACAGTAGTGAACACAGAAAATGACACCCACCTCGAGTGAGCTGTGTAGGACTACCTGGCTCAGTGCACATGGTGTGAGTCACAGCCATCCATCTGTTGTTGCAACGTCCCCTCTGATTTCACACTCCATCCCCACTCAGTAGCTCATGAGAAGCAATCCTCCCTACACCGACCTCCACAAGCAAACTACAGGGCTTTTTAAGGTAAAGTGCCATAATTATGTAGTCACTATGTATTTAATCACTTGCAGTTTCTATGAGATCCATCACCCGCTGTCACAAAGTTTTTGCATGTCTTGCCACTAACCCCATTTTTTTTCATGTCTTGTGGTTTTCATTGCACAATTTTGCACAGTGTAGGAATTTTTAGGAATGCATGTGTCACATTACAGCACAGCAGACTATTCTCTACCAAGCCAAGGTCCTCTCTAGTTCTAAACCAAAAGGAACTAGAAATGACCTGACACACTGCCACTCTTCATGTTACCAATTCTCTGTTCCAGCCAGCTCATCATTTCTGCTGTAAAGAAGAGCTTGCCAAAGGATGACCTGCAGGCAAAAACCAACCACTGGATAACTTTTGTTTAATTTCCCAAAGTTTACAATTTTTAAAAAATTGGTTTCCAACATCTAAAAACCAAGTACTTCCCATAAGAATCAGATTTATACTTCTCTTGACCAACTGGAAGCTCTAGCCATCCTGGGCTCAAGTTCCCCCACGGCACTTGGTCAGCTGGAACTGGTTGTGGCTGGCAGTCCCTTTAGATGAGACATGACTCTCTGGTACAGCTCAATCCCCACCTTGCCCACCTCCTTCACTGCTGCCTGGTCCAGTAACAACTGCATTTGTTATCCTGAGACTTAGCTTTGCAGCTAGACATGAATGAAATGCTTGCTCTGCTACTTCCCAACTGTGTCAACTCAGACCAATTAGGCAAGTCCTTGCGCTCTCATCTGCATATCTATAAAAAGGATGACTAGGAAGGTGAAATAACATGGTGTGTGGGAAAGTACTTGGTACTGTGCCCAGAACATAGCAGGACCTTGGTGGAAGCATTTCCTTCCAAGCTCTCACATACTTCTCACTTGGGAAGTCTTGTCTTATCCCTTTCATCCTATCAAATCTCTCCCTTTGAGAAAGTCAAGACTTTCCACTATGGCTTACTCACTCTTTCATTCATTCCTCAAATATTTACTGAGGATCCATCAGGCAGTGTGCTGGACAACGGGTATACAGAGATGGCTGCTGATTCACGGAGTTTTCAGTTCAGTGGAAGAGACTGGCAATGAACAAGTAAACAAACCAGCCAGTAAACAATGTCAATTTACCGTAAATGTTATGAGGGAAAAGAGCGGTTGGGGTAACCATGAATAACAAGCACTTGACTTCAGAAAGAGAGGTCAGGGAAGGCCTTTGCAACAAGGTGACATTTAAGCCAA